CCCACCTGAGAGGGAGAGAGACCAACCAAAGAAAGTGACTAGTAATGTTTCACATTTGAGTTTTTGGGACACATCTCTCACACTGTGTGCACACACAAACTAATACATCATTCAATGGACTTAATTAAAGATAAATGACACATATAGAAGATTATCTAGAGGCTAAAAATGAACACACTAATAAGCACTTGGCATATTACAAACTGCAAAAAGCAGCACACCCACATTCAAGCGGACACATTGACGCACCTGTTGAACTTCTGCTGCCGTACTTTTGAACAGCTCAATATATCTTCTCCCAAGGATTTCCTTGTGTTTCCTCAGAGCACTCTGGGCGTGTTCCTCACAGGCAAATAAAACGAAGGCATCTCCAGTGGGGCGGCCGTCTGGGTAGCGAACAAAAAGGATGCCGTCCTTCCCTCCGCTGACCGGACACGTCTCTTTGAGGCCGTCCTCCGGGGAGAAGAAGGTGAGCACCTGCTCGGTTGTGGCGGTGAAAGGAAGACCTCGCATCCTCACTATGATCTGGTCCTCACGGGACAGGAACATCGCTACCTCATTGGAGGTACCTGGCCACACGCACACACAGGAATAAAGGAATACAATTGACCATCTGTTCATCATTTTGATGATGATAAACATCTGCACTTCTGTGAAGCCTTCTGCATGTAACAGCTTAACTATGTATTGTTGAGAAACACGAGAAAAAAAGGTTATCACAGGGATTTGCTCTTAAACGTTATAACCAGTGTTATGAAAAGTTCAAATACTATGTAGTGCACATTGTTATAACTGTTCACCTCCTGCAATCTTCAGGAAGTCTTCTCCTGAAGCTTTGTAAACCTGCCATAAGAAGAGAACGGGGCAGAAACAAGGATGTCTTGTCATTTCAGGTGTGGCTTCACCAAACTAAAAACACCTTAGTTGGGTTCAGATGGGTTACCTCTATGTATCTGTTGCCCATGTGGTGTTTGTGTCTCTGCAGTGCCAGGTCTCTGTGTTCTTCGCTGACAAAACGAACGAGAGCTTCCCCGTTCCTCCTCCCCTGAGCGTTAAGACACAACGCAGCCCCTCCTCTGTAAAACAACGTTACAGAGAACGATAAACCCCACGTCAACAGAAGTAATATATATCATGTTGGCTGATCGATACAAGGTCTTCACAAGTGAGTGGGCTTTTAATGTAGCTTACTTGGCAATGTTGAGTCCTCTGAAGAATCGAGCAATGTCCTGGTCAGAAGACTGCCATGGCAACCCTCTAGCTCTGATGACTGTGTTGTCACACACTTTCTCCATTTTACTGCTGCAAACACACACACACACACACACACACACACACACACACACACACACACACACACACACACACACACACACGTTAACAAAACAGCAGTTGACTGAGTTAACTTCACAGGCAGAGAACAAAAAGAATATGCATTTTGCGCAAACTTTACTTACCAAGTACCAGTCTCAAACTTCTCACTAACTCTTTCCTCGGTAGAAAATGTGTGGCCTAATGAGAAAGCATGAGAGTTTAGTTTTCCATATTAGATTATGAATCCCACCATATAACTAATCAGGATTCTTTGTGATCCACATAATAATTGCACAAAGTATTCAAAAACATATGGTTCCTGTCACAAAAATCAAGATACACAGCAAACAATTTTCACTGTCTTTGTCAATTATTATCTCCATCTATGGATTGTTTTGGCATCGAACAAGTCAGAAACTGGGGGAAGATGCCGCAAGATTATAATCAAAAGTCTTGTTTTGTCTAACCACCGATAAGACGTAAACTATTCAGTTTAAAATTACGAATGCCAAAAAAGCAGCTCAGTCCCAAAGTCCCAACTATTGGAGGGGAAGAGACCAGCAAATAATTCAAATATTTGCTTGAAAAAAGGCAAACGATAATTTGATTAATTGGCTCATTCATTTTCACTCACGTCTCCATTTCCTCAATTATCATTTTATGAGTGCTTTTGAAGTTGCAAACTTTTCTTATCTGCCTCAAAATACAGAGCGGCCGTTTACGTCGAACTAACTGAAACACTGCTAATGTTTCACTTTAGTGTGAAATCACAAATGATACTCACTAGATGGCTCAGAAAGCAGTGCAAGGACAATGCTGCCCATAATCTGGACCAGCTGGACTGCTATTTCTGCAGGCAATATGGCTGATGGATCCGGAGAGGCTGAGGGGTCCCACATAGCGGGCAAATCAACGGGTATACTAAGAGCTGAGGAGGGGGCCGTCAAGGAAAGCAAACAAGGAATCAGGGTTTGACAATCGAGGGGGGGGGGGCACAAGAAAGTAGCAAGCAAGGCACAGAGAAGTTAGTTATCCTGTTCCAGTGGGTGTGAGTGTGTGCGTGGTTTGTTCTGTTGGCTGAACACACACTCGTTCACCGAGCGCTAAGCGCGGCGCTGCCATTGTTTCCCTATTTGCATTTCAAAACCTCTAGTCTTGTAGCCAACACCCCGTGGCTTATAAACCTATAATGTGTGTGTTATGTATTTCTGAGCGCTGTGTGCTCAATAGATCAAGCTAAACATGCAGATAAATAACCATTTAGTGTCTGAAATAGTCTTGAACATTGAATACGTTACACAAAAAGTATCAGTTAACAGACATTCACTGGCACAACCAATTCAAACAGCTGTCATGTTGAAGGATACACTCTGCCATGTTGTGTACATTCAAAGCCTTGAGGTCAGACGTGGGGAAGCGCTTCTTGAACTCCTTCCGGAGGTCAAAGAAAGAGTGGAAACAGTCTGGGACCAGGATGTTCTGTAGAGAGAAGAAGTTTAAAGAAGAAAAAAAAAAAGAACGGATGTGAACACAGGGCCCCTCGACGGCTGGCGTTTTATTGCCATCATATTGGTGTTTGCTCAAGCCAGTAGAATAATCTCTGTTCAAGTCTTCACGCAGGTTTCAAGACAATTCCATCAGCTTCATTGTGCAGGTGTTGTTTCATTTGCACGGGCGTCCGTCATTAGACAGGTCCTATAGACCAGGAGCACAGTGCTGACACAACACATCCCTTTGTGGCTGTGTGAGAGCACTGAAGGTTCCTACGGCACTGAGTGATCTGTCCTCCCGCGCTGCAAGGCGTCCACCCATCCAGCTCGCTCACTCACTCACCTTGCTGGCCGCCTCGGGGTGAATCACTTGGCGGATGTGAAGGGGCCCGTCTGTGCACAAACACACCGACGTGCCCGCGCCCGCGCTGTTCACCTCGTTCGTCAGGTGCAGACAAAACTGCAAAAAAAAAAAACGCCAAACATTAAGGAAAGAAAAATAAAACAAGCAAACCTCAGACCCTATGATAGATAGTAACTATGTAATAAAACAATATATATATTTTGTGACTTCAGTTAGGGTTATTACCAAGTTCAATGCGGTCTCAAGACTTGTGGCCGTGGACACATTATCAGCTCTGGATTTATTTTCCTTTTCTGCGCTCTCCTCCACCTCATCCTCCTCCTCCTCCTCCTCCTCCTTTTCCTCAGCCAAGTCTGAAAGGTCCGGCTTAATGAGGAGCTCATTCACCTTGCCCAACTGGTTCAGAAGGGGAGAAGAAAAAACTCGTCAGTCTTGAAATAGAACCCTCCTTAGAAACTCACATGCTGTAGGCTGTTGGAAAAGCATTAAATGTACGGAATACACAACTTTTGATGTAATATCATAACACGGGACCGTTTAGACACCTTACATTGGAGATGTCATTAGAAGATTATTTCTAATCATACCAAACAACTATTTGAGCCCTTAAATGTCTGCTCACCTGAGTCACAGAATTATTATAAACGCCCTTGGTTTGTATTTGAGTCCATTTCCGACAAGTTAACCTTTTTACCTTTCCTCTCCTGTATTTACCACCGCAACTCCCAATTAGGAATAACGATACCTAAAGGCAATAAGAAGTCTGGGACCGCGTTTTACCTTTTTGTTCTTTACGTCCACCAGCTGCCAAACCAACTGCTCGAGCTCCTTCTCGTCAGATCCAAGCAGCGCTCCGCTCGCACCAGATGTGGCGGTGAAAAACACCACCAGGTAGTCTACCTGCGCCGTCATCTGGACACACAGCCCCCCGAAAAACGAGTAATCGAATGCCGCACAAAAGTAGGGGCAAAGGACAATTATTGGAGATACGCCGGAGAGGAGACACGCGCGGGAGTAAAAGCACTTTTAGTTTGACACCTGAGCGCGACGGTGAGGTGCGTAAATCCAAGTTTCGCCGCGTGTCGAATTGTACGTGAAGCCTCCCGCAGACACCATAGCGCAGTAATGGCTGAACGTTCCTGGTTTCTGTGAAGCATCTACCTGTGGGACCACGTGACTCTCTACCTGCCCCCTCCCTCCTTCAGGTGGTTTGTTGATTAGGACGTGGCAAACCGTGGAGGATGTTGTGGATATCTGTACATTCTTATGCATAATACCTTTTTAAGGGGAACAAAAGCAGTCATACACCTCGTTGGAAGGTGTATTTACAATAGAGGACACCCGACACATTTGTATTTGTGATAATTAAAAGAAATCCACGCAAAAATATTGTATGAGTAATACCGAATGGATATATAATGAAAAAAGAATATGTTAACATTTATGGAGGCTGGAGTGTATCCAGTTATAATTTCACGTGTTTTGAAAGTCATGGCATGTTTTCATTCTAACTCACATTTCAAAAACTATCATTAATTAAATGCATCTGAAAACGATGCAATGCCAATTGTTGTCACCTTCGTTGCGTGTGGAACGCGAAATCGTCATAATCATAATATAGTGAATTATATGTTTTATAAGTGACTATTATTTTCCTTTACTCTAACAACAATAATAATACAAAAATTAAAATGCATTACTACAAGACAGTAATAGTAATATAAAGTAATATCATTTAGACGTATTTGTTGCTTTTATTATGTCTTTGGAGAACAACATTAAAACATGTATCGACGAACGTGTGTTGATTTGGGAAAATTCTCCTTGGAGTTGATTTGACTCCGGAAGTACTAACTACACCGGAAGTGAACCCTTGGCCCGACAGAGAGGAAGAAAGCAATGGCGGGGGACACTTTAACGGAGCTTCTTTTTATAGATACGTTTAAACACCAGAGTGCAGAGGTAATATATCCCAAGTATCACTACCCACTCATACCTCAACTTCAGAGCTGCCCCGCATTCAACACCCGCATCACCTATGCGGAAGCATTAGCATTGATGCTAAACTTCTAAGCTAACGATGTCAACATTGCTAACGTTAACGTTAACATTCGCAGTTGTGTCGTGGTTGTTGTGATAACATTGTAATTTACCACTTTTGTTGCATTAAACACTTGCCTTAATGCACCCACGGTTGTACCAAGTATGTTCAGAGTTAGGTAAATATAATTGTATTTACAAAATCCTAGAACGCCCCGACGCTGTTGTTTGTTGCACGCAGCTTAGAGGCAAATGCTAAAAGTTAACGGTGAACTCTCACCATGGTCGTCTTTACTTTGAAAAAGACGCGTTCAATTGTGTAGTTGTGTCGTGTGTGGTTAGTCAAGATTTTTAACCCAAGTGATTATACTAATTATGATGTTGAATTCACTTCAGTTAACCAACGTCGACGTGGTGCGGTTTCCTTGCGGGGTGCTGATCACAGAAGTGCGGGTCATTCCTCCGGGGATTAAGGCGCACAGCAACTTACCTGACAGCAGAGCGTTTGGGTAAGAGCCACATTGCAATCTTCAAAATAGACACTGTAAATTGCCAGTTTATTAGCTCCACGTAGAGAACTCAAATGCAGCTTAATCAGGCAGCCTGGCAATGCATAGTTCCTTTCAGTACGTTAAAATGAATCATATGTGGTATTGATTATAATATGACAGATTCACAACAAATACACTTTGTCTGTGTTATCCCAAATTTCAATGTTTCCGGTTATGGACTGCTGAACAGAAAATTGTTTATACAAAGTATGGCATACAGATAATCGTTCTGGGAAAAGGAGAGTATTGGTATCGTAAAGCTCAGTTGGGCCTCTCAACCCTTGTTTGAAAGAAATCTGTTTGCTACGCAGCTTTTCCCCTCCCATTACGACAGCCCCCCCCCCCCACCCTGCTGAAATGACCCCCCCCCCCCTGAAAATGTCTAGATTTTTTTTATTTTTATGAAATCTTTTAAAGTGTATTTGCGCATGTTGCTGATTCCCAACTGAGGCTGTTGGGTATATGTGATGTAATTTAACCGTATAAAGGGACACAGTGCTCATCAATACACAAACCAAAGCAGGTCATGACTCTGAAGTGAGGGGCTGTGTAGGGTATTACCATCTTCTATCAGGGTATATTTTGCAATATTGATATACGGTTGATAAAGTAAACTGATTCAAAAATCTGATTGTGCCTGTTTTTCCTAATTCAGCCTATTAAATAAAAATAGAAATGCATATAGTCTCATATTACACACGCTTGTTGTGCTACTTATTGGGTGTACCTGTACAATGTAATTCAGACAAATACAATTGTTATTCCAAAAAGGCTACTTTGATACCTTGCATAGAGGTGTTGATACCACCAGTGTAAACAACTACTCGACATAATAAATAATTATGGTAGATCATTTGCATTGCAACAGATGGTTCAGGTGTGCTTTATGAAGGGGCCATTGACAATATTTACCAAACGGTCGCCGACCTCAATGTGAATGTGTAGCTAAATATTCAATAGAATTGGCCGGATACAGCAGCCATGGCTGCAATGTCAATGTTTGTATATGTTTCTGTGATTCCAGAGAGACGTCACCTCATGCCTTCCAGTTGGAGCTGTTTTTTAATAATGCCACAAAACCCAACAACCCGACGTTCCACAGGCTTGGCAGGTCAGAATGAATTTTTACCCCCAATGTTCCTTCTTCGAACCTCTCCTCTATCTCTGTGGTTACCCGGTCAAGTCCTAAAAGTGCTTCAGGTGCAGATGTCTGTCCCACCTGTAGAACCAGTCATGGTAGCATCTGAGCCCTGTTCTCAAACCAGTGTGGTGGGTGCATGTGTGCACCAGCACCAACCCACATTCAAGTCTCTTTGTCCTGATGCTGGCTAACTGGTCTCTCCAGTGACTCAGCCTTACCCCAAAAGTAGCTGAAGGCGACACACAAAACATTCATGTCCTGATCTGATACAAGAATGAGTGTGTCCAACACTTTTTAAAATTATAACACGTTCATAATAACAGAGGTATGCACAGTAGCACCAGAGCGTCAAATTGTATTGAAAGGCGGCTATTGTGTAAGAGACGTTGAAAAGTGTAAATGCGACACACCCAAGTTATTCTCTCTGCTGGGAGAGTTGGCAGTTTTTTCTTTCAAACAAGTCTCGTTGCTATTTTCGGTGTCTTTCTCACGAGGCAGTTAGTCAATGAGAAATGTCAAAAACTAGTTTGTCTGAAATGATGATCTAGATAGTTGTAATAATGCAGTTTTATTTTTAAGATTTGATGACGACCATCATTTTGTTTGACAATATAGAAAAAATTGCAATAAAACTTGTTATTGTTAAGAATATTTAGACATTGGAATTGTAATGTGAATAAAATATTTAAAAAATCCAAAATCCAAAAATGATCAAATCGACTCTCAAAATTCCCCAGATTGCCGCTTAATCTTATTGCAGTCTCATGGTGTTTCCCAACACTAACATCTCCACGATAATAAACAAACATACGCAAGTTCAAGAATTGCCCTTGGTAAATATTTGCACTGATGTTTTACTTTTCCCTGTGTTGCTTTTTGCCTTCAGTCTGGAATATGACGAGAACAAGTCCATCGTGTTCAGGCCCAGTGGAAAGGTAAACGGTTATGTAGAAACAAGATCATTTGTATTTTTTCCTTATGATTTGTGAATGACCAAATTGCTTTTTTTTGGTTGTTTTTTTGGGTGCAGGTGAACACAGACGGCCTGGTGCTGCGCGGCTGGTACACCAGTCTGACCATAGCGGTGTACGGGACCGCCGAGCGCTCACATGGGCATGACCAATCCTCCCCTCCTCCCCCTCCACCCCCACCCCCACAGCAGCCAAGCGGGGCCAAGCGACTCGTTAAACAAGGTGCTCAACCTGAAGCACAAACTACCTAGGGCTCTCGCCTTCGCACGCACTTCCTCAAACTGAACTCGTTTTTTTCTATTTCCCCGGATTTGCTTGTTATAATGTAAATTGTTTGTTTGTTTTTTAGAGTGGGAAAAAGATGACCAGTACAATGGTAGCCCACCTAGACCAGCACCCAGAGGACCTCGTACTCCACCCGGGCCTCCGCCCCCAGATGATGATGATGAAGAGCAAGTCCCAGTCACTGGTCAGAACTGCACACATCTGTCACATTATATCAATCGTTGTTTGAATCAGTTAGTTCATTAATCTGTCAGGTTCATGCTTATCATGATTCAAGTGAAAAGTTAGTGACCCTACAATCGCCTTGCTAGTTTAATTATAAAATTGACAGTTTTCACCATCATAAATATATTATGATAAAGTACCTTTGTTTTGGATGTTTACCCAATTTTCTTCAATCTGTGTACTTCACAATAAATGTTGTTAATCAGCGGGTCGCCCCAAAGTTTTGAAAAGGCAAAGCATAGCTGAATCTTGCTTGTGCCAAATGATTTTCAGATACTCCATTATGGTACGAGGGCTTTTAGTGATCTTAAAAATCCCTGACTTACGTGTCCTCTTCCAAGTAAAGTGCACATAATGTTCACTGTGTTGCGTCACATTTCCAAAGCATGTCTCTGCATGCCAATTACCTGAATAAACCAAAATCAATGAACAGCAATGACTAACTGCCTCGTGAGAAAACATTTACACAACTGTCTTGCTCCCATAATGGCTGGCATTCGTGAAAAGTATGAGCATTGTGTTAAAACATGCAAAAACACAGCCGTAAACCTTAAGCTGCTTTGCATAAGTTGGCCTTTACTTATCTAAATACCGTATATTTTGCATGTTAGCATGTTCCCTGTAGGTATGTAACGTGAACTGTTTTCCCTCTGTTCTCCCTTATGATAACGTTTACAGTTGGTGTTGTCAAAGATGAGCCAAGCGAGGGGCGTGACGACTACCTGGAGGCCGTGTCCCCTGAGAGGTCTCTGCCTGCTGACGAAACCTACTCCGATGCTGAACAAGAGGAAGAAGGGGAAGAGGAGGAGGAAGAGGAGGAGCCAGAGGAGGAGGAAGATGCCCGGACCGAGGGAAGCGTCCTGGAAGAGGAAGAAGAAGTGGAGGAAGATGAGGGTGAGGACGAGGAAGAGGAGATGGAGGAAGGTAGGGGAGTTATATCGTGAGAGTAGGATAGTCAGCAATCCCAAATGGATTCCCGGTCCTGAACTCCGGGTCCTCTCTCGGGGGCCACAGGAGAAGGTTCCATTTGGGACTGAGTGACATTTGGAGAGAGAGACAGAGGGTGTGTGCACGCTCTGGCATGCCTCCTCCATCTACAACCGCTCGGTGCTTCGAACTCTCAGTGAGCCCCCACGCCCCTCCCCTCCCAGGGCTATTCTGAAGGCTTATGATCAACGTTACTAAGCTGTCGTGTGGAGGTCTAGCTCACACATCCTCACAGCCCTGGCTGATGCTCGTGCTGTAGTGACATCCCGCATGTCAAAGCGACCTGGCATGTTTGGAGTGATGCAGGGATGTGTGTGTGTAGTGTTGTGTGAATTTGTGAATGAGCAAGGGAATATGTATTCGTCGCTGGCCTCCTCATTTTCATTCATTTTTACACACAAATTGTATTAATTGTTAAGAAGAATCTTTATAACCCTTTCCACAATTGTTTCACTGTCAAATTTATCCACACTTTCATCTCTGCCGGCCTTCCAGGTGATGACGGCTATGAGCAAATTTCCAGCGACGAGGATGATTTGGACAACGGTAGCTTCAAGTTGCCCACCTTTGACATGGACTACACTCCAGAGGACCTGGCATCTGTCCCACCTGTCCAGTATGACCCGTATGAGAGAGAACTCAGACCCCTCCTTTACTTCATCCCTCCATTCAAAACCCGCTTCGATACCCAGTTTGAGAAGGCCAGTGTGGAGGAACCGAGGGACCCCGGTGGAACAGAAGCTCCCGCAGGTGGAGAGGAGGCTGAGGCTGTTGCACAGCTCAAAGAACTACTGGGGAGCATTGGAGACGACAGAGATGCCCGCTGGGTTACCGCTCTAGAGCAGGCCCCCGCACTGCTGGTCAAAGGGTCAGCTTATTTAATCAAACAAGGAGAGGGCCAGATGGAGGAGGCCGTCAGAGTTTTGGTCAAGTGGTCGCTCCAAGCTCTGAGTATGGAGATCGCTCTCACCCAACCAATCGCCCTAAATCTCAGACAGTTGAAAGCCGGTGCCAAGCTAGCGTCACACCTCGCGGAGTGTCCACAGGGCCTCTCGGTGCTGCTGCGCGAAGGGGCCCTGGGTGTGTTGCTGGAGTTGGTCCAAGCCGACCACGTCTCCTCCACGCTAAAGCTGAATATCCTGAGGGCCCTTGGGGCGCTGACCAGCACCCCCGCTGGCGCAGAGGCTTTCCTGCACACGGGAGAGTCCGAGAAAAGTGGCTATCAGGTAGGCATCACAAAGTACTACGAACTCGGAAATGTTCTCTTGGTGGTTTAACCCAGCCTACCATTTGATACAAGAGAGAGAGCCTAACATGCTATATGTCTCTCGTAGCGTTTAGTCCAGCTGTTCCTGCGTGAAGAAACAGTGAGGGTCATAACAGCTGGCAATACCATATTGCAGAAAAGCCACATGTATGAGATACTGGTGGACCTGCAACGTGCAGCAGAAGCATGGAGTGAACCCCAACCGGTACACGCACACTCATATTATCACACGCATCACTAACTGCACTGACTTAAGTCCATGTCTCGTGATCATCATGTCTGCCTATCGTTGTCAGGAGGAGATGGAGGATGCTGACATCTCCATGGAGGAGGAACCATCGCTAAGCTCCTCTCCTGTGAGCGAGGCAGAGCTTGACAGGCTGGCCGGGGTTTTGGATGAGCTGCATCACCTGCTAGAGACGGCCCCTTACTGCATGGTGCAGCCCCCAGGGAAAGCCTTTCCTACTACTGCCAGAATAACGGGACCACAGGAGAGAGACGATCCGTACCCAACACTGTATAGGTAGACTTAAGACACAAACCTCGGACTTCATTCAGTATGTGACGTTAAATGTATTTTTGATTTGTACTCCATGTCCTCCTCTCTCAGGTACATGCATGCATGCCATTTCCTGGAGAGCATGGCAGCGGTGTTGTCGGCAGCTGCAGCGGCGGGTCACCTAGGGGTCACCCAAGCCATTCGAGAACTCCTGCGCTTCCTGTCTCTAACCCAGTCAGGTCTGCTCTTCCTCCTCGCCCAGCCCACTCCCACCAACCTCCTGCTGCGCCTCCTGGGGTCCATGGCCGAGGCAGAAAGCGAGGAGACCACCTTCACAGGGGGAGAGGGAAGCGTGTCGGGGCCGGGATTCGGCGAAGAGGGTTTTGGCGTGTGGCTAATGCAGGCGCTGCATGCTCTGCAGGGTGTGTCAGAGCTCATGAGCCACGTGGCTGCAGGTGGAGAAGGGGGAGCGGGGCTAGAGGAAGGTGACAACGCAGAGGTGCTGGGAATGCTCCACGCGCTGTACCTGATGACCTTCACACAGACAGGGCGCAGCGCTGTGGCCCACGTCCTCAGCCTGGACAACAACCTGTCGTGTCTGGTCACTCTGCTGCAGCACCACAGCAAGGACGGACACGGGTACGGCTGTCTTCTTCTCTGTCTCTTCCTGAAAGACGTCAGGACCCTGTGTATTGATTTATGACTGCGATTCTTTTGTGTCGTTTTTTCGTTAAGTGAGGCCAAAGCTCGCAAAGCAGTGACATATAATTATGCCTGTATGCTGGTGTTACTGGTGGTGCAGAGCTCTAATGAACTGAGGATGATGGAACACTATGCGGCCCCTCTGCTCGCCATAGCCAAAGCTGACGACACCAATGCCAAGTTACAGGGTAGATATTATAATGCTGTATGCAACTGTCATGACCTATTTGCAACTGTTTTTTTCAATGTAAATGTTTGTTCCTTCAGAACTTAGCAAATGGCTCGAGCCACTGGAAAAACTTCGCTTTGAGATTGGCAGCATTCCTACACTCATAGACTACATCAAACAGGTACAGGTCTCTACCGTCATTTACAAACTGCTGAAGTAGGGCAACATTTTAATTAAAAACATGTCCCTGCGACCGACCCTGCGAGTGATTCAGTGAGTGATTAGTCTCTTCACTTGGCAGTGTTTCATCATTTGTCGTCCATTCATTGTTTAAATGAAGGATTCCAGGTCTTTAGATTCACAGGAACGCTCTGTGTAGAGCTTCACAGTCTGAAACATTTACCTGCCGTGTATCCTATTTTCGTCCGGGCTTTATGGAAATATCAGCCCTCTATGCCGTTTTGAATGTGTGTCTCCTCTTGGCTTCAGAATATGGAAAATGTGTTGACTGCTGAGGGAACTGGACTTGTGACTTCTCTCAGGGTCCTTTGTCTCATCGCCTGCCCCCCAACCGCTGTAGAAGGTAAATACAAACATTATTTCTGTAATGGGCCATTGCAGGTGTCGTCCTCTTATAATGGTAGGAAACTGTGCTCCTTGGCTAATTATTACCTAATAGTGGATTAATGAGGAATGTGTACAAGTAGCTACTATTGGTTAAAAGCTCCACAATGAGTCTTGTAAAATAACGGTTATTGTGTTTATTGATTTTGACCGCCACAGTTGCAGAAGAGATGCCCTTTTCTCACAACGTTTGCCTCCTTTCGTCAGGTCAGCAGAGGGATCTTAAGTGGAGTCTTGCAGGGGTCCAACTGTTTTCCGGCGAGGGCCTGGATATGTGTGTGCGTGTCCTACAGAAGCTGTGCAGCTTGTTGCTGCAGCCGTGGCGTGTGCACGGACACATGGGCCCCACGCCGCAGCGCTGCATGATCCTCAGTATTTGCATAAGCACACTGCGGCTGCTGCGCACCATGCTGACAGAGCTGCTGCGCGGGGGAGCGTTCCAATTCCGGGACACCCGTGTGGCCAGCGTCTTGGTGACGCTCCACATGATCGTGTGCTCCATCCCCGCGTCCGGACGCCTGGAGGGAGAGGAGACGAGGGTGCAGGCGCTCATTGTTGATGTGCTGCTCACCTTCACGCAAGGTGTCAATGAAGAGGTGTGTGAATGAGTTAAAACACAGTTGTGTTTTGTTCAGCCGCAAAAACTTCTTATTACTCTTAATCAATGTTGTGGGTTCTCCTGTAGGTGACTCATACAGAGGAGACTCTGGCCAGTAACACGTGGTCTCTGATGCTAAAAGAGGTTTTGGGCTCACTGCTGAAAGCTCCGGAAGGTGTGTTCTCTGGTTTGACACTGCTGTCTGAGCTCCTGCCTCTTCCACTGCCCATGCAGAGCACTCAGGTAACTCCTTTGGCCCTACTGGTCACCCATCTGTCCCGTACTCAACCATCTGATGATTGGAAATGATAAACATGAGGCGTCCTGTGGCTCCGCAGGTGATATCCGTCCAAGATGTGGCCGTAGCCTTAAACACAAGGAAGCTGTGGAGCATGCACATACGGGCACAGTGGAAAGTGCTCTCCGAGGCGTTGAGATGTGTGTGTGCCACCAGCTGCCCTCCTCTCCTGGCCATGCTCAGGAGAATGTGCGTTCAGCTGGCGGATCTATCTTCGCCCACCGCACTACTCATCGAGAAGACCGTGCTGGAGCTGCTGCTGGAGGAGCTGCAGCCGTGAGTTGGAAAGCGCACACACGCTCAGTGGTTTGTGTTCATGCTCTGAATTTGTACTCTAAAGTGGATGCGATGTGCTAACTGCAGGCCGGAGGGGAAAGGTGTGTGCTGGGGCCAGGTGCTGCGCCTGCTCTCCTTGATGGACGCTCTGGTGTCACAGAAAGCGTGTAAGAGCGCGGCACTGCACCTTCTGTCCGGGTCCGTGTCCGGAGACGAACAGGTGGCCGATCTGTTCCCCTTGCTGCTTTCTCTGTTGGTTCCACCAGCCGGCCACTCCTTACCGCAACAGCAATGCAGCGAACTAGTGGGCACAATATTACAGTCACTGTGTGACCAGGTGAGCAGAATATGAAGGCGCACTTCCTTCTAAACATGTCCCGACAATAAAAAAATAAAAAAAAAAGCACACCTTACAAACAGGAATCTGTCTCCTCCACCAGGACATTTCTCTGGTGGTTTCTCCACCTGGGGAAAGCTGCGTGTCCGAAGCAGAGCAGCTTGCCAATTCCCTTCCAGTCCGTGAGATGATGCCATTGGTGTGCAACGCCTTGTTGGAGGTTTTAGGGACTTCAGAGTGCAGTGTTCCACTCCTTCTCACCTGTATCAGGACTTTGACGTTCCTCACTGAGCACGACTATGGGCTCTATCACCTCAAAGTGTAAATGATAACTTCTTCTTGTTTCTTGGCATTAACAGTCTTCCCTTTGAACCCTTTCTCTTTCCACCTGGCATAGCGTCCATTCTTAATCCACATAATCTTTGTTTCAGAGCTCTGAAGAAGTATGGTACTGGTTTATGTTCGCTGTTGAAGAGATTGGTGTTGGCCTTCAACAAAGACTCTGTAGATCTGCTGTCAGCTCTTCTTGACTTCCTGAGACAGATCCTCAACACAGAAACAATGGTCCGTACCTGGTCATCATTTTACAGAAGATTTTACTGTAGAACATATGAAATGATTTTCGGAAGCATTTGGAACTTTGAAGTTTGCGACAGCAGATTTTTGGTGTAAAGTTATCATACAAGTGCTTAAGTCTGAATTTGTGGGCAAGTGGGTGGTGTGAATAAATTACTAATTGAGCATCTGTCTGGGTTGTACTCCAGTGTGTAGATGAAGTCCAGGGCTCCGGCGACGAGTCTGTATTTTCTCCTCCGCGGTTGCTAACGGGCTCTGAGATGAAAGCTCTACTGCAGTGAGAGGAGTCTGAAACCCATCCGCTTCCTACTTTAGAGAACAGATTACGGTAGATTTTATACGTTTGTGAATAATTTTTTGTAAAGTCAATGTCGATGGAGCGTCGGCACCCAACTAAGTCTGTTGCTCTGTCTGTAGAAACTATGTAAGGACGATGATTCACTGGAAACGATGCTGGAGACCGTGATTGTTCTGAGGCAGACGCTGGAAACGGCCACTGACACGCCTGCTGCAGTCGACACCGAGCCTATTCTGCCGGCTCCCGAGGCACTCGGGACCCAGTTTAATCACAGGTACAAGCATCCCTAATCTGGATGACAGCCGTCAATATTGGTTTAATCCACCAGGTTTTTCTTACTGTCGAAATTCATTCGCCGATCCCATGGAGGCCCTCACCATCCCACCCGGGGAAATGTAATAGAAAGATTATCTAAATGTGGTCAACCCAAGCTATATGCTCCACATCTCTCTCTGAAACTAGAAACAAACTCATTACAGATGTTGTTCTAAAATGTGGCGTGTGCATCAATTTGGTCGAAAGTGAGAGGAAGCAACCGGCTGTGATGATGGATATATCATTCTGTGCATTGTTATCTGCAGGACGGTATTCATTCTGTCTGAGGCTCTGGATGAGCAGCTGAAGACTCTGTGGTTCTCCCCCTTCCAAACTGACGACATCGAAGCGGACCTCGACATGGTAAGTGTTCAAGAAACTGTCATAAAGACACTGACTCTTAATTAGTTTACGTTAAGTGTTTCTCTCAACTTTGCTGCTATGTAATGAAAGCGTGATGAATCCTCACTGTGATTTAAATGTGTTGTACCGTTATCAAGCCCTGCGCCTGTCTGCAATGGGATGAACAGTATGTCTGTGATTTGCCACTTTGTCTGTGCGGCAGGTGAAGGTGGATCTGGTGGGTCTGGCTCAGGAGTGTTGTCCAGAACTGGACCTGAAGGCGGAGCTTGAGCGCTCCTTCATGTCTGAGCCCTCCTCTCCTGGCGACAATAAGGCTCCAAAAGGCTTCCGACTGGGCAAACACAAGCATGAGACATTTATTACGAGGTATAGTTCCAGCGCTTGATTGCATTAAACGCTTCCATATTTGTTCTGTATTCTTGATTATTGTTTCGACCGACCGACTGAACGCCATCTCGTGCTCGTCTCTGCAGCGGTAAATCGGACTACATCGAGCCTGCTAAGAGAGCCCACATCATGGCTGCTCCTCGCGGCCGTGGAGGTCGCGGAGGCTTTGGACAGAACCTCTGTCGACCACATGACATCTTCCGCCAGCGCAAACAGAACACCTCCCGACCTCCCAGCATGCACGTGGATGACTTTGTGGCGGCAGAGTTTAAAGACATCACAACCCCTCTTGGACTTTTGCCTCCTAAACGGCCGCCCAAGAGCTCTCCCAAACCCCCCACCAGAGGACTGTTCACTGGTAACCGAGGCAGAGGCACCTTCCACAGCCAGACTCGCTTTTTCACACCCCCGCAGCCTAAAGGTGTACTGCTGTCAGGTACGTCCTCGCAGACGCGTCTGTGCTCATGATCTTCAGAGTCAGTGTAGTTAAAGTGTTGTTCCTATTATCTGTTCCAATTTGTTGCCTGTATAATAATTGCCCAGACTCCTAACATTAGCATTCAGGAGTTTATTTGACATCATTCAAATACAGCGGAAAACATATGATGTTATCAGGAATAACCCGACATGGATTTATTTCCATCTTGGTCCCCAATTTTCCATCTGTCCACCCTCGCCGCCTCCAACACATAAATAGCCACTGAATGTCCGAAGCCGGAGACACAAGATCCACTCTTAGGTCATCTAATGACAACTGAGCATACTCTGCATGAGATGTGATGAAACCTCTGAAAAAAGAAAGAAAAGTATGTGTGTAATACTGGTAAATGGTGTGTAGTAGTAGTTTTGAATTTGAAGTTACTTATCGGCCAGTAGAGGGAACTAAACCCCGTATTTCGGTGCTGCAGGTAACTACACTCGCAGAGACGGAGGCCGTGGTTCATCATGGAGCGGCCAAGTTCCAGCTGTCACTCACAGAGGAACCTACAGTGAACCACGCGGAGGCCAGAGCAACTTCACACGTGGCCCCCTGCCTTCCAGACAACTCCCAGCAAGTATGAAGCTCATACCAGCACGCACATTTTGGGGGATTTAGCTCTGTGGATTTCTAAACACTGAACTCTAAACGCTCTCTTTTTGTCAGGTGCATATCGGCTGGCTCCACGGGACAGAGCCCCAAGGGGAAGAGGAGGCGCTGGGCTGTCCTGGCTTAGCGGGGGAGGAGGCGGCGGTGGTGGTGGCGGTAACGCTGCCGGCGGCGGAGGAGGTGGCGGCGGTGGTGGGGGAGGAGGGGGGAGAGGATCTCAGGGTAACAAATTCAGTGGTGGGGGAGGGAATGGAGGTGGGAGGGGCAGACATGTTCGCTCCTTCACCAGGTAAATTCACCGTTGAAATGACTGCAGCCCCTCACTGCAACATATGGACCAATAAGGATATTATATACACCGTTGCCATGGAAACGTTGTGGATGATGTCGCAATGACGTAAAGACTGTGTTGATGTTTTACGTTTTGTTATGAGTTGTATTTTGGAGAATAAAGATCATAGTAACAAAGCGTGCACTTTTGATTTTAAGAAAACAGGACTGACATTGACTATGATGACCCAATAAACAAGCGTTCCTCAGAGGCTTTATTGACCATGCCTCTAACAAATGTTCCAACGAACATCTTGAGAATGATCAAATTACACCTCTCTGAAGGTTCTTCAGGCATTTAAAACTATATTTAGAAATAGTTCATCGTGTTTAAAAGCAGCAATAAAGGAATTACATGAGACCGAACAGGGCATGATGTACAAAGGTTGACACAAAAATGCATTCCTTCGACAACTGCAACTAACCAGACCAATGTCAGAGTTAATTGTTTGTGCTGCATGCATTCCTCTCGTCACGCTGGAGACTATTACAACCAAAACTCATTTCATTTTTCCAACAAGGTACTATACGGTTTAACATAAAAGCCATCAATATTTTGGTTTGAATGACTTGTTTTTCATACATTCATTAACATTTAAGCAGAGGTCCAGGGGTATTTGGAACTTTAAAATAGTTTTATTTCACAAAACTCTCAACAACTGTACACACTATTTTCATTTTTAAACTGTTTTCCAAATATTACCAAAAAATACAGATTCAACCGTTTCTAATGGGCCTAATCTCTAGTCTACTCAGATGACCGTCACCTCCCGGCTCTTCCTCTTGATGCAGTCCAGAGTCAGGCTCCTGGTCCCACCCTTGCGTGTCCCCTCTCCCAGCTGAGGTGATGGAGGTGGACCAGATACATTAGTGGCCTGAGCTGAATGCAGTGACAGACTGGAGGCCTGCAAAGACACCTCCCGCTGCTTGTGTCTGGTTGGCTCTGTGTGCAGCTCCCTTCCAGCTGTTTGTTGGGCTCCCTGATGCTGCTCCTTGGATGCCTCTTCAGCAGGATGCTGACCCCTGGTTGGCTGCATGTCTCTGAGGAGCTCCAACAGTTCCCTCTTCTCCAGCTCCGCCTCTGCCAGCTCCTGTCTTCTCAGGCGCTCCGCTCCCAGCAAGGCTCGCATGTCACACATCACGCAGGACAGCTGGGCCTGCACAGAGAGGACACATGGATCATAGAAAAGACTTTTCTGCTTCTGACAAAAGGTCCTAAAAGTAGTTTGTATGGTATTTCTTATTTGTCCCAACACAAAATGAGTTCATTTTGTGTTTTGTATGCCAACTAAATTCAGCACAGAAGTACAGCATACCATATGTCTTTGATTTTCAAGATTTATATAACATATTACTACACTCACCACTAAGCTTCCAGTGCCTTAAACCTTTCCTTCAGCCCTTTTGTTGTCAAAAGTGGAGGAGTTAAATTCATGAGAAGGACTGACAGGTCACCTTAAGCTCCTCCACGTCATTCTTCAGCTGCGACTCTTTCTGCACCATGTGTCTCCTCTGAGAGTCCAACCGAGACTCCATCTCTCGTCTGACCTCCTCCACCTTGCAAAGCATCTCTGCCCTGCCGTAAGTATTCAGTGAGACAAAATTGTAATAAAAAAATTAATGTAAACTAGCACACGTTTTGATTGGATTCAATTTTCACACACACACACACACACCTGAGCATCTCCACTTCTGTGCGCAGCTCTGCTACGCAGTTATGCTGTGATTGGTCAATGGAGAAGAGGGTGTGGCCACAGCCGTTTGGACACTCCCTGCTGCGGAAGTTACATTCGGAGAGGTGAGCCTCTAAACCCCGCCTCTCTACCTGCAAAGAACAACCTGACAGGACACAGAGACGGACGGGCCTCACATGAAGCAACCATGTGCTCAATTCAAATAGCTTCAAAGAACAAAGCCACACCATTACACAAAAAATGCAATCACTTGATGTTCCTTACTTTACAAGATTGCACATTTAACGAAATATACTTTGGCCTTTTGGACTCTGGCTTTTCTGTAAGTTTCAAGGAGCAAATGATGATCATGATATTTATATATAACAGTAGAAACAGGAAAAAGTGTGACGTAAAAAGAGGAGAGTTGACTTCATCCCGCCTGTTATTCTCCTTACTGCAATCGCTCATCTTTCACCACGCCACATTAAATGGACCACAGCAGACAAATATATCAGGTTAAATCTTGTGTGAAACTGTTGCTGACGTGCATGAAGCACTTAACACCGCAAAAAGCCACACTGCATGCACTGTATACCTACCACAATGGTAACATGTGTACTCTCCACCTGCCAATGATAGGTGACAGACACGTTGTGAGCACAAGAGCACATGCTTGTTAATACATACACACTTTTAAATTGCTCATTAAAGAGTGATGGAAAGTTGAGCCTGAATGTGCCCCATGTGGGGTCTGTGGGAGCTAAACAAGTCCCACAGGTGCTCAGGTTTGGGAGGTAGCCATGACAACAAAAGAGCCACCTGTTACGTGCGCTTACACACAGGTGTCAAGTTACCTTCATACTTCACACCTCCACAATGGTAATGATTTAAGAACCATACAAACACTGGCGACTGATATATGACACATGCCATCAGCTCTGTTTCGTACCCGTGTTAGAGCAGGAGATGAAGGCAAACTCACACTCATCCTCGTGTGTGTGCAGGCTCTCCAGGGAGCAGACCACCTCACAACCCTGCCCTACGTTTACGCAACGTATCTGCAGGCGGTTCAGGTCGTTACGCATGTACCTGTCATCAAAAACAGCGTCAGAGAAATGAGGGTGGGCACAGAGAGCAGGACACAGGTGTGTGAACCTGGTGGATAGTTAATAATAAACAGTTACAATTCAGAGAGATCATAAAAGACAGAGGCAGACCTGTACAGGGGTTTCAGACTGCTCACGTCCAGTGGAAGTCTGTCTTCCGGACACGAGCGGTGATGCACCAGCCAGCTGCTGATGCAGGAGCTGCAGTAGGCATGTTCGCAGGGCGCCTGGAGGGGGCGCTCCAACACGTCTCGACACACACAGCACAGAAGACCTTCATTCACATAGCCCACAAACCGCTCCAGATCATAGCCCATCCTACAACAAACACGAGGGCACAGCAACAGTGTTTGGTGTCTCATAGGTTTTCTTCTTCTTTTTGGGACTATTGACTTCAACAATAACACTCCCCCCTACCTGAGGAAATAACTTTCATCCACCTCTTTTTTCTTCTTCTTATACTTCTGCTTCTTCTTCTTCTTCTTCTTCTTCTTCTTCTTCTTCTTCTTCTTCTTCTTCTTCTTCTTCTTCCCTTCTGTTTAAATCCGCTTCACTTTTTCCCCCACAGGTGATCTTCCATTTTACCTCTAAGACTACTACTATGGTCTCTTCTTCTTCATCCTCTCTCTTCACTTGCTACTCCATCAAGGTGAGGGTCTCCTTTCCCTGAAAGCCCTCCCCTACCCTTGGGAGTCCGTCTCCATGGAGATGTTTCCCTGACAAACACTGTTCATGCCACAGGCAGGCAGCTGTCAGACGAGATCAGATCAGAGAGACAGAAGAGACACACAATAAAACAGATGCATTCTATAGTGGTACGTTTTCCTCACCCCCTCGCCCATAAAGCCAAAGATTGTGGTGCCTTCGGAGATTATTGCTGTCCTTCAACTCTTTCTGTCTCTGTTAGACCCTATACTAGTCTCGCTCTCTGAATGTGGGATTATCATGGATTACACTCTCTCTCCCTCTCTCCCTCCCTGATTGGATTACAGAATGTCAGATGACACAAACTGTCAGACCACAAAATTCAAAGAGCAATATAAAACAACTGATCTCGGCCCTGTTTTATTCTAAAAAGTCACTACTGCAGTAAATAAATGAGTGTGACATTCTTTAGTGTGACATTCTTTATCAAAAGATGTTGTACCATAGTGTAATACTGATCCTGGCATTGTCTGTACTTTTTTGAATGCTCATTATTTTTATAAATAATATATATTTCAAATAAATATAGTGTAGAAAACATGCAACATTTATCTCCAAAATGATATCAATTGCATCAAATAAAGCATACACATCTCATAATAAACCAAAGTATGTGTATGTATACACATTGTTAAAGGGTAATTAAGCGAGGTCACCGCAAAAGTCCCAGAGTTTTTCTTGATTAATAGTTTAGGGACTAACGGGGGGCCGGAGTTCAACGGGAATATTATCAATGAACTGGCTCAATGTACAATAAATCAAGCGCACCCCCTCGCTCTGACCACGCCCACTGCCTGGTGCCAACCAATCATGTTCCTCAAATCCTTCAGCGGGAGAACCCGAACAGACTCCTCAGTTTAAGGAAAAATACACAAGGCGAATTGTTTTAGGCGGATTTTAGTGACATGTTGCGACCATTACTGTTCTCGTCAAACGTAAATTGACCCCGGTATGTATGTCACGTTATCAAAACAGATGTTGCCGTCGAGTTTAAACCAACGTGTCAGGAGTGTTTTGACGCTAGTCAGTTAGCTTAATGCTAACATGAAACGCTGACACAAGAGGTTAGCTTAATGTATCTAACGTCAACAGCTTCAAAGAGGGTGATAGTTGCGTTAGAAAGCTGTAAATTAGAGGTTTTTAGACCGTATTAATAAATGAGACGATCCATTTATCATCGTCTCTAGAGACACAATGATCTATCGATGTCAATAAACTTTACCTTGACAGTTTTTTGATCTTGTCTTAACAGCTATAACGTTACATAATTTACTGAATATATTTATGTATATAAGCTAACGTTAGCTTCATGAGTAGAATTGGTGTCTTCATTAATGTACCTAACAAATGCACATCATTAATGTGGTTATGGTGTGTTCGAGTTGCATTTGGAAGCAGAGAGCTAATAGATATATTGTATATTATGAATTATTTATCGTCTGTTAGAGCTTAAATCCATTCATTTATCATGAATATTAAGCACTTGTTTACCCTAGTAAACGCTAGTATAAAGTATTATGTACACACTAGAAGTGCTTGTAAGGCCACAACACTGAACTACTGAAGCAAACATTGAGTCATTTTGTTAGTTAGTCTGATCCACTGAGTTGATTCACATTATAATTAGTAGAATAAATAATTTCTAAACGCAATGCTTGCCTGTGTTTATTTTTTTCTGTCTTTAGGATATAGATTCAAGGTTGCCAGTAGCAAAATGCGGCGCTCAGGAGCTCCGAGCCAGCTCTCGGGTAATGCTGTGAAAAAGCCCCGGTTTGTAGCCCCTGCAGCATCTACTTCCTGTCTCATTGCTGGATTCAAGCCCCTCTCACCTAAACCTCGTTTGGGAAATGCACTGGAAAAGGTAAATTATTCACAACATTTAAGGTTTTCAAAACTCACATGGTTATTTTCAGGTTGTCTTGCTTGTCACCTCTTCTCAGGAGTGTGTAAGTGTGTGTGGACTAATCGACAACAAATGACTCTCTTTTTTCATTATTTTGGTAGATTAAATGTTGAGTCCTGATAAGTTTCCATGGTAGTTCTGGCTCACGTTCAACCTGAGCGGAGTACTAGTCAACCAGAATATTTTTTTATCTTCCAGGTCCAGAGAAGTCTAGCAGCACCAGCTAAGGGTATAACAGAATATGATGTTCTGCCCAAAGCTGCTCAGCCTGTTCCGACCTTATCGAGGGCTCTGGCTCTTGTTCTCAGCACAGCAGAAAGTAAGGAAAATGAGGCGTCAGACCATCCCAACAACGGCTCAGAAGAGCACACAGAAAACCGCAGACCTGCAGGTACGACACAAAGATGTGTAGCTGGGACAATACCTGCTATGGGTAAGAATGGTTATGTAGAGATTGTGCAACAAAAACACTTTTCTTTAAGGGCTGCAAACAAAACAGCAGTTTTATTTACTGACTGATATATATGTATTCTTGTGTTACCCCTATCAGTGTGTACTTGCTCAAGAGGTATCTCAATATATCATATCATGTCAAGTTGATTAAAACATTTGACTGACACCATCCTTTCTCTGGGATATTTATAAGCTGCAAGTCTATAACTGCAAAAGGGAGAACTTGTAATGATATTAGCAGTGTGGACATGATTCCTATAATGCTGTTCGCTCAGTTATTTGCTGATAGTAGTTCATCATGCAGTAGGTGTAAAATATATAGTAATAATCTACACCTATTGATCAGGACCCCAATATAGTACATTAATTATCTTGTTCTACCTACTTTTACATTGCATGTGGTTTCTGTTATAATATAGATTTTAGATGCTGCAATCCACGTTGAGTAACTTATTCAGAGATATTCAGCCTCACAAATGGACTGCACATGCATGGGCAAACACATGGGTTTGTGAAGTCCACTGATCATCAGTTACTAATTGGAAATTATCTATATTGAAAGAAAAATGTCATTGCACATTCTCTTGTTCAGATGCCATTATGGTGAAACTGAATTCGTTCTGCTACAGGTATAGTCTGGTTGCAAAATCTGCACATAGAGAAGCCTTTTTTAGAGGGTCAGCGCATCTCTGGGAGCTTAATCACAAACTCTCTGCCTACACGTTGTCCCTGTATGTTTTCAATCAAAAATGTATTTTTTAAAACGATGCGTTCGCTTGAACGCCTGTGAAGACTGTGGACCGGTGTGCGGGCAATTTAGCGCGGTTATGCTCCGGCTTAAAGTCCCTAGTTGCTTTCGGATGGTATTTTTTCTAATTGGTTATGATTTTTAAAAAAAAACTTGTGACGCCACCTTACTTGTGTCCCTCTTGTGTGGCAACGATACAACACACTGTCGACGGATGTTAAACCGGGCGGTCTGAGTGACAGCAGGACCAGCATTATGCAAATGAGCGCTGGTGGTGACGCGGCGCGCGCATGAGGACCGGCGCTCCGGATCAGTGAGCCGCCGCCCCCCCCCCCCCCCTTGCCTCCAGAGGGGGAGCGAGCAACTAGTGCCGCTGTTTCACGCCCTAAACACACGCGGTACGCCCGGTTCGATTTTCCACACGCGCCTGGAGCACTTGTTTAATCGCGTGATCTCGGATGTGGTATTTTTTATTTTATGTTACGTCATGCACAAAAAGGTTTAGAGCGCCTCTGACTCCGCGGGCACGCGCCGCGCGTTCAGAAGCCCCTCCCCCCTCCCCCCTCCCACAGCCCTCGGTTAGTTAAACCTGCGCTGTATCAGAGCGTCACTCACTTCAGGAAAATAGACCCCTGACCCCAATAACCTGTTAGAAAAACGTAAAAACGTGTTCCTCCCGTTTGTTTTTCAGCACAGTGTCGCTGCTGGTGATTTCCTGTTGTTTTCTGGTGTACAGGCAGGGTGGCCGTGCGGTGCTCTGCGCTGTGCTTGGTTTGGGGTTTAGAGAGACCGAGCTGTAAGTAGGTCGGGCTGGGTTTAAGAGGCTTAGCTACGTCAGCCTAAGCTGGGAGGAATTCATCCAAAGCCCTCCGCGGTAGGCGGGGGCCTAAACGAGGCTGGCCTAGTTAAGCCTGATTCTTATTGTGTGCAGCACAGCCTGGTTTTTGTTGTGCAACGTGGCTGAGGCAGAACCAAGGAGCAGTGTATGAAACCATGCACATTTTAGACATGGTTTGTGTTTGATTTAGAGGAAGGAAAATGGGAAATGTGGAGGAGTAAGGCCAGGGTTAGCTTCATCACCGTGGACCAAGAGAAGCCAGCAGCAGGGACAAAAAAAAAAGACAGGTGGGAAGACTGAGGGGCCTTAGTGTTGAATGTGGTTGCTGGACGGTAACAGCCATAGACCCGACTCGATCTCTGTGAGTCTGCAATGCTTTAAGATGGCCTCCAGCTCTGTGTTTTTGTCCAGTATGGTGGGTAAGGCTCGCTCCTCAAACTTCACCCTCTCGGAAAAACTGGACCTGTTGAAGCTGGTCCGTCCTCACATCCGCATCCTGGAGGAGCACACCAACAAGCATGCTGTCATCGTGGACAAGAACAAGTGTTGGGACACTGTGGCTGAGCAATACAACGCCTTGGGAGGGGACAGACCCCATCGCACCGCTCAGGGCCTCAGGACCCTTTACAAGAGGCTAAAGGAGTCGGCCAAGCAGGAAGTGATGCAGCGGAGACACGCCCAGCCAGAATACAGAGCAAGCATCTCGGAGCCAACCAGGAGAATTATGGAGATGATCCCTCACCTGTTTCACCATGTGCCCATCCATGAAAAGGACCAGGCACTGCGCAGGTACAGTGTAATAATCACTTAGGAGCACAGACCTGAAGGCAAAAAACGAACAGTGAGGGTAGAGATTTAGCGTGCACGTTCGTCATTAACAGGACGTAGTCGTGACACTGATTCAACAGTTGGAGGAGGAGAGTGAGGATGGAAGGGAGGGGCTGAACTCAAATGGCCCAATTAGATTACAGACTCGTATCGTCAGGCTAAGAAGGAATATGCCGTTTGTCTTGCTGTTTATTTTTCTTTATCTCATTTTTTTTAACAAGACTGTTACAGACCACAAATCAAATTAATTCTTAGAAACTAGTTTGTTCTTTATGGTAAATAAATTAGGAAAAACAAGGCCAGGGCAGATAATGTTTATAAGTTTGAGAGAGTACATAGAAGGTAACAAAGCCTTAAAATAGTTAGTTACTTGAGTTTTAAGTTCCTTGGAAAAAACCCCCCCAAAAAAACCTTGACTTCCCTATCGCAAATTGTTTCACTATTCTTAATTCTATCAATCGGTAATAAAATATCATCCGTGAGGCTGAATACAACATAAAGGATCGTCGTTTAAGCACCCGTGACTCAATCAAATTCTATCCTTCTTTCCATTTTTAGATTAATATACAGCAAGCACAACTCTCCTGTCGAACACCCTGGCAGCAGCTCGTCTCTGGCCGGGCTCCAGGATTACTCCGCAGCTGTCCCAAGTCTCCCCCATGAGGTGGTCCAGCTGGACCCTGAAGAGGACGTTAAACCACCCCCAGACCTCCCCATCCTCTCCACACTCACAGAACCAGGGCTGGACGGTGGCCAGGAGGTGGAGCAGGACTCGGACAGCGAGCACGATTTTGAAGCGTCGCTGTCTCCCGTCCCCTCGTCCGATAACATCCCCCTGTCCGCCTCGCCGCTGCCCTTAGGCCACGACCTCTACCCCAATGACATCTACCCTCGCCACGAGCACGACAGGTTTCGCCCGCTGCAACTCGCCAAAGAGGAGCACGAGTTGGTGTTGGCCAATCACAGGAAGGTCGCTGTGTACCTGGAGGAGAAGAGGGAGGGGCTGAAGAGGAAACAGGACCTGGAGGAGGAACTTCTGCGAGCCAAGATCAAAGTGGAGAAACTAAAGGCTGCTAGACTGAGAAACGGACTGCCGATTCCTCAATGAAGAGCGCGAGCGCACATCTGCGTCCAGTGTTAGGAAGGGAGAGACAGAGGAGATCAATGTTTTGAAAAGAACCGAGGAGCAATCGTGAGATTTGTTTTTGCGAACATAGTGCCTCGTACAGACACCGAAAGCCTATTTGCTTATAGCAGTGAAAGGCTCACACGTGCTGCAGTCTGTTCATTCCCGTCCGAGTACATAAAAATATGTATCGACATTGTTCTTATTGACAGAAGCGGCAGGAGACCTTTTGAAATGCTCACGTTACAACACAGATCGGCCAAAGTAGATGAAATAAATGTGAACGATCTATTTGGAAGATAATATTCGTAGTAATGGATGGCTTGTACCACGATGATTCTTCTGCTTCGATCGCCCACCAATTTACAATTTATGAATTGTATTTAAGTGTTGACGATCTACCGGTATTTACTTTAATGTTATACTGGAGTGTGTGTCTGCCCAGATCATATTATAGTATTAGTGCTCTTTTAATTATTTGTAAAGAAACTGTCCTTGTGCTTTGGCATCAGTAATTGATTGAATGTGCCTAAAATAAAATAATTTATAGGTAACCAAATTAGGGCGCTTAATCAAAGTTCGGTTGCTAAGAAATGTAAAAGAAGCACTAGTTTTTTGAACAGGGAAATATTCGGATACCCAGTACTGAAGCACAAGTCAAATTGTCGAGGGCCTTAATCACGAGATGCTAACGATGACAAATCCTGTTGCTGAATTTACAAAGAAGTGAGAGAAAGCTGTTAAAGTGTGAAAATCACTGTGGTGGATGAATTGATCAAAAGACGGAGAGGTTGGATTTGGTTCCACAATGTTATCATTATTTAATGTGTGTGACTACAACATGATTGTATTCCAGTGTTCCGATGTGATGTAAGTTTCTTTTACACTTTGTCCATATGTCAACTTTTTTCTATTAAAGTAAGTTTGATTTGCTTTTAGTTTTTTTTTTTTTAGTTGCTGTGTATTTCTGCATCTGCCCATGAATTCAGCCCCTTTAGAAGATGTTCATCTGTTTGTTTGTTTTTAACAATGCGAGGGTCGCCTATTTGTGCGGGCTTGGTGAAAATGTGACACCTGCTGGGGAAGTGTGTTTTTTTTTTTTTTTTTTTTTTTCTTTCACTATGTTGCATGTCTTGGTGTTACAGGAGCGGATGGATACCCTCAGTTGACTCCCGGGTCTTCTCAAACCGCTCAGTCTGCCCCGAGTTCAGTCTGCGTCTCTGCGGCTGCGGACTCCGACTCGGCCTGCCGTCAGGACGCAGCGCGTTTCTTTAGTGTGATGTGGTGTAAAGCCAGTAAGAAGAAACACAAGCGCTGGGAGGGCGACGCGGTCCTGGTCACCAGAGGACGCACAGCCACACTGAAAGACATGGAGGGCAAGGACATTGGAAAGGGTGAGACCGAGACACCAGAATGTTATTCAAGTTTTTATTTTGTCACTTTTAACTCCGTGTAGGAGACGGAGCAGCGTCGAATGTGACCGTCAAGCACATCGCAAAACCTTTTTGAATTATAATCTAATACCAAGTCTTCTGGTTGAGCTTCACCTTTTAAAGAAACTGATGGAGCAAATAATGTAATCGGGTTTACTTTGGGAACTTGTAATGCGACTATAAACTGATCTTTCAAGTCTCTTAAATTTGCAAAAACGAGCTGTGAAGCATTATGGCCTTTTTAAGTCCTGTAGATACAACATTTCTACCAACCGATCGTTGTGAGTCCGTCGGTTATACTTGTGCATGTTCCATTAGGAAGTGGCTACAAGGTGTCTGTGCTGGCCTCCCTGTCCGAGGGAGAGACCTTGATGATCGGAGGGAAGGAGGTGGAAGTGATGGGGCTCATATCTGCGGAGGACTTCGCCAGGGGCCGTTGCTTTCAGGAGGTGGCGGTACAGAACGAGGAGCTGCGTAATGCAGCTCCACCTCCCTCTCGTGGCTCAGTGTCTAAGCGTTTCTGCTCCCCGACGCTGTCTGGGAGAAAAGAACATTCTGTGCCCAAACGGGAAGAGGAACAGACCTGCAGACCTCGCCACGACCCCCTGGCTCCAGGTATGTTAGAGTTTTTTTTGAGAAGATTTGACTTTTTAAACATTTTGTGTATGCACAATCTAACTCGGTGTCTCCTGATCTTTTACAGGTGCGCTGGTGATGCCTCGTCCCTCCGCCAATCACCAGTGGTTGAACAACAAGTCTGGGCTCCCGGTGGTCGATGTTGTTGTGGACCCGTTCCTGACCAATCAGCTGCGTCCACACCAGAAGGATGGCCTTCTCTTTCTCTACGAGTGTGTCATGGGCTTGAGGTAACGGTGCTTGTTCCCGTGCTGTTTGAAGCCATCACAGCCAGTGTTGGGATGCCTAATAAAACAAATAAATCAATGGATCTTATGGTGTGTGTGCGCACCTCAGAGCTGCGGGTTGCTATGGGGCCATCCTGGCGGACGAGATGGGTCTGGGGAAGACCCTCCAGAGCGTGGCACTCTCCTGGACACTGCTCAAACAAGGACCGTATGGAGGGAGAGCCGTCGCTAAGCGCGTCCTGGTGGTCACACCAGGCAGCCTGGTGCACAACTGGGCGGCAGAGTTCAACAAGTGGCTGGGCCGCGAGAGGATCAGCGTCTTCAGTGTGGATCAGGTGTGGAGAGGAGGGGGGGGGATTCTTTCTTTTGGATTTACAAGGCGCTGCTAGAAATTTGTATGAACAGAGTTTTTTCATTGTCAAATTCTCATGCAGGAAAGCAATTTGATTCATAAAGAACATTACATTACTCATGTTTTTATATTTAAGATATTTCAACAAAACAAAAAATGACATCACAATACTTTTATAAACGCATAATGATATATAAATGTTAAACCTGTCCTGATCGAATGGCTTTTTCAAACACATACTTTGATAAAATATCAGATTTACCCATTTGTCTTAGTGTTAATGTACGTCATTAATGGACCCTCTTTTTTGACATGTACAGGACCACCGGATAGAGCAGTTTGTGATATCCCCTCTGCACAGCGTTCTTGTGATCAGCTATGAAATGCTGCTGCGCTCCCTCGAGCAGGTATTCTCTCCCCTTCTGTCTCGCTTTCACCTGTGAATGGTACAAAGTGATTTTCTCATATGTCATCTTTTTGCATTTTCTCCTGCCTCCAGGTTCAGAAAGTGGAGTTTGGTCTTGTGATTTGTGACGAGGGCCACAGACTGAAGAACAGCAGCATCAAAACGTCCTCGGCCCTCAGCAGCTTGAGCTGTAGTCGCAGAGTCATACTGACAGGTGCTCACTCATTCTGAAGCGCAGAGATGCAAAGCGTGGCGAGAGATGGGAAAAGTCTGACCCACAACAATCTCTTGATACCATATTGCCTTTCGTGTTTTCAAGGCACCCCAGTACAGAATGACCTGCAGGAGTTCTATGCTATAATAGAGTTTGTGAACCCGGGGATCCTCGGGTCGTCCACTGCGTACAGAAAAGTCTACGAGGAGCCAATTCTGCGCTCCAGGCAACCCTCCTGCTCGGAGGTAACGCCACTTCCCTTCCTGCTTCTCTGTGTTGTAACTTATACGTTGACTCCTTTTTACCTGGCGTGATTCTGTAACCTGTCCCTGCCCAAAGGAGGAGAGCGTTTTGGGAGAGGAGCGGGCCGCGGAGCTCTCGCGCCTGACCGGCATGTTCATCCTGAGACGGACAAAGGAAATCATCAACCGCTACCTGCCTCCACGACTCGATTGGACGTTGTTCTGCAAACCGTGCCCTCTGCAGCGGGAGCTGTACACGCAGCTTCTCGCCCACAGAGTCTTCAGAGACTGCCTTCAGGGCTCCACGCAAACCCACACACACCTGGCCTGCATCACCGCGCTGAAGAAGCTGTGCAACCACCCTGGTCTGCTCTACTCCTCTGCCAAGGTGAAGATCTGCAGAAATCTGCATCTTGCATTTAGATATTGATCGTATTTGATTACATGCTGTCATCCTGTATTGAACTTAGCCTGAGAATTTACGTTGGCGTGTGCCTAACTGAGTACTGTTTTGTAGGAAAAAGCAGACCTTTGCTCCGCAGAGAACTCTTTATACGAGGGCTTGGTTCAGCTCTTCCCAGAGTCCTACTCTTCGGGTGGATTCAACACAGCCGACTCTGGAAAACTTCTGGTTCTGACGGACTTGCTGTCTGCCATCATACAACTCGGCCCGTCAGACAGGTGTGTGGCTTCAGGTGATCGCATTTGCACGTGTATTTGTTGTGCACACATACTGATGAATGATGCGTTGCCCCTGCAGGGTGGTTGTAGTATCCAACTACACTCAGACACTTGACCTGCTCCAGGACTTGTGTGTGCACGCGGGCTACACCTTCTGCCGACTAGACGGCCACACCCCCACCAACCAGAGACAGCGGCTGGTTGACGGTTTCAACAGTGCCTACTCTCAGAACTTTGTGTTTCTGCTGAGCTCCAAAGCAGGAGGCGTGGGGCTTAATCTGGTGGGAGCTTCCCACCTGGTGCTGTATGACATTGACTGGAACCCTGCTAATGACATTCAGGTAAGACTCACACAGACCGGAATATATGGCTTCACGTAACGCTGTTTTCTTCGCGCCCACATCTGTCTGTTTTGGGTCAAACAAACTCTGGTGCGTTTGTGCGGGAGGTTCCATTGTTCAGGAGACTTTCTGGGTCAACTTCTAGGACGGATACGGTGGTTTGTTTGTCAGATAGTATCCCATAAATTCTGAAGCCAAACTATTATTAGCTTCTATTAAAGAGAGTTTTGTATACAAAACATGTATATGTTTGCTATTGTCATTTAGTAACCATAGTAATGCAGTCACGGTTGATGTGGTTGGGGGGAGGGAGGGGGTTCAATCAGAAAACGAAAAGGAAGAACTATTCAGTTTTGACAAGATGAACTGGACAACAGGTGAAAAATCCCTCTCAGACTTCGTCACACTTACACACAACCACCAGATGGTGCTGTGCACATTTTATTTCCCCCTTTCAACATTTGCCTCCTTTCTCCGTCCAGGCCATGGCTCGAGTGTGGAGAGATGGACAGAAGAAGCCTGTGCACATCTATCGTCTCCTCACTGCAGGTCTGAAAACGCAAGGGCGCACGATGACAAAGTCTATGGAACAAACAAGTCTGACGTGAGTCGTTATGTCTCTGCGTGCGTTGCTTCCCTGCAGGCACTATTGAGGAGCGGATATTCCAGAGACAAGTGTCCAAACAAGGGCTCTCTGGGACAGTGGTTGACCTGGGCAAAAGGGCGGAGCACACCAGCTTCTCCACCAGCGAACTGCGAGATCTTTTCAGCCTGACTGACACGCTCTCTCTGACACACGACTTGCTGAACTGCAGCTGTGTCATGGACGGCTCGGCCCAGCGTAAGCACAAAGGCGTCGCCCTTCACATGCCAATATTTCACTTTATTTACTTTATTGAGACTCGACTGGCTATTTTTAATTTTCTCTTTTTTTCTTCATCATCAGCTGTCTTGGAGGAAGAGCAGCCGGTGTCTGATAGGCCGTGCCAGCTCGGTCGTCAAGGCGACCGCGGAGGGGCGCCGCAGAAGCATCTCAGCATGTCGGAGCTGATGCAGTGGAGACATTTCTCTGGTGACACGCACAGCTTCTCAGACCCTTACCTTGACCTGGCACGAAACCACATCACCTTCGCCTTCCAGACCACCATCTCTCACACAGCGCCCTGAAACTGGTGCTGGATCACATTGTAGATGAAGAACACACACACACACTTCCATATGTTTGTATTCAGGCTCACTGGACTTTGTCACCGGATGCAACAGAAAGCTAAACTCAAAAGTGTTGCCAACAGCAGTAAATAAGCAACATCTGTCCGATCTTGTGTATTGTCCTCTGCGTTTTCTTTATTTATTGAAAGACATTTACGATAAAACATTGTTAAATGAATGGTATTCAAAAGGAATTTGTGTAATAAACAGTTTTTTAACCAGTTGACCCTTTTTTTTTATCGACTTAAGAATTCATCCTCGGGGAGAAGTTTGTTTCAGAAGCATGTAATATTGAGGCAGAGTGAGAGTATTTTATACCTCTATACTGTAGAAAGACATGTGAGAGTTACTCCTATATCCATCTAGAGTAATGTTTACTGTGTGAATTAGGATTGATGTTGTTTTAAGAACTTGGCTGATATGCAGACTTTGTGTAAACAACCATCTGTAGAAAAGATTATTTTTCAAGGCCGTCTGTGAAGTCGTTCTCAAGCCAGAAGTTTTGTATATGATGTCACAGTTTTACCTGAGGCGCTGACCATAGTCTCCTCTCTGCAGTCTGTTATTGGAGTTAACCCTGATGTGTTCACGCCATTCAGCACACAGCTGCTGCGGGTGAGTTATGCAGTTGTTGTGTGTGCTGGATTCACATCCCATTTGTGCCCGGGTCCGTCTGACTGAGCTCCACTACGCTGCGTGTTTAATTACTGTGAGGAGGTTATTTGTTATTTACTGGGTCCTCACCACTCTGTGTGATTCTTAAGCAACGTAGTTGTGTAATAAACGGTTGAGCGGGAGGTTCAGCTTCCCCTTTTGTTCATTTGCTGCAGCCTGCGTGTGCGTGGTTCCTTTTGCAGAAAGCTGCTGTGTCTCTGTGGACACCGCATGACTTTAAACTGTGCCCGTCCAAAGCTAGAATGCATAGTTTACATATTGCTAATATATATATATATATATATATATATATATAGATTTATTTATTTATCTTTCAGGCCTCTTGTAGTCAATCGTTGTTTAAAAAGCAACACTATGAGTCTTTTGTCGCGCTGGCGACTACTGTAGCTGCTGCCCCAGATTGAACCTCACAGATTAACCAGTGTTGGCATAGCAACTGTCACCCAAGCAACTGCCCTGGCCCGGCTTTGGCAATGAAATATACAGTTTGTGTTGAGTAGGAATCGTGTTCTATGTTGCAGCACCGTTTGGCAGACGAGTCCAATCGGTATATTGATCCAAATCCCTCTTCCAATAGTCTCAGAGGCCACGTGCCACACGTGTGTCCATGAGTCAACATTTTCCTTCTGATCTTTGTAAAAGCTCTCTCGTTCCAGCCAGACAGCTCGAGGACCTGACGTGTGGATCGAATGAACGACTTTCCACTGCTGGAAGGCGACAAAGAGATTCAGTTTTTTTGACGGAGAGACTGAATCACAGATTTTAAGTTTATTCCCTGTCATCCCAGGACCTTTGGAAGATCTGAATGTCCCGTAGAGTCCAGATGGCCAAGTATCTTGTACGAGTACAGAATTCTCATATTATATTGTTTGTCAGTCCTAGAATCATTGTTGTTGAAGCCGCTCGTGTTTTTAGAGAAGATGTTAAGCTACTGATGCGTTGATGCTTCACATTTTTCATTCTTTTTTTATTTTAGGGCTCCCAAGGTTGATGGCAGATGAGATGAGAAATATTAATGATTGTGCTCTCTTTATAGCGGTCGAAAAACCGAGGCTTGAAATCCAGAACCTCTAGCCTCCTTTTTATTTTTTAGATCGGATCAAGTAATAAGAGCTTATCTAAGAAATTTTTTATATATAATTGGGCTTAATGTTGGGATTCGGGTGGGAAAAATGCCTCGACCTTGTCGGTTGAAAAGTTGATAGCGAGCCGAAAAAGTGTGGGCACCGCTGGTTGGACCGGGAACTGAAACCAGGTCAGTCCAGCAAAAACCAGCCTTTACATCTTCACCAGAAACGGTTCCTCGGACTACGACTTCCCCGGTACACTCGTTGAAATGAATATTCACTTTTAACTTGCAGTACAAAGTATATATTTATATTTCTTACACTGAAACCCTGTAAATAAAGAGGTCACTTCACATTGACAGCCTTCACCACGACGCTGCCGGTCTGCAGCCAACTCTCGGTCCCCCCTCCTCCCGGTCCCGGTGCTGCTCCAGCTTAGTAAGGATTTACTGTTAATGTCGGACAAAGATCTTAACCTCTTAATGTCGTCTGTCAGGCAGCCCGGATCAGGCTCCTAATACACAGCAGCAGGGTTTTTTTTCGCGGACGAGGCCACAACCCGATCCAGACGTCCTGTAAAAACAATGAAATAACGCTGCTATTACTGTAGTAACGGGCCACCTCTGTCTCAACCATGAAGTGCTTCACAATATTAAAATAATTTAGATCGTTAATCAAAATAATTTTTGTTTTACATATCCATTAATCGTTAGTTTTTAAAAATCCCACCTCAAAGACCTTTTTAAAAGGTCCTCTAAGGTATTCAGAGCATTAGCAGGGCAATCGAAAGGCTCCGAAATCTGGCAACATCGCACATTAACACCATCTCTGCAGCCTGTGATGTAGTTGTCAACATTATCTGTTGTATTTTTTTAGTCGGGTGATTTCCTCACTATCAACATTCCTCTTATCGCCCCCGTGTTGCAACCAGCTGACTGTTGGACATGTAGATGGAAAGATCAATGCTGGTGGCAAAACATGATTTTCTTTCCACTAGTTGCTGAACATCACATATGTGGAGTCCAGAGGAAAATGTGTGATGAGTTCACTGAGTTTGTGCCGGCGTGGAGAGAAGTTACACTACTTTGAATGCAGCCTCTTTGAAAAGGTTGCATGTCTGAAGTTCAAATGGATATTCATATGTTTCTGGTTTGGGTTTTTAACAAGACTGCTTGTGCAAATGAGATGTTTATCCACAAAGTGAAGGCTGGCTTTTGGTCCAGAGAAACACTGATATATTCCGACAAGGACTCTGGATCCCTCTGTACTTCGCTCATGTGAACATTGCCTTCAATGTTTTCAGTTTGAGCTTTAAGGACTGGGGACATTGAGTTTTAATGAAGCAAGCGGCCTGCATGGACTCACAGTGGATGGAACCAAATAAGAATGAGTCCAGGACAATTTTAAAAATGAATGTTCTGTTATATATTTAATCATAGACCAAATTTTAAAAATCCACTAACAAATACTTAATCGCTCCTTTACTAACAAAGCTAATACACAAACACATTTGATCAAACATTTGATCAGATTATTTAATAAAAGCTGTGTTTTGGTCCTTCAAAAATAAGCTTTAATCAAGTAGAAGAATGTGTTATTTCTTCTCTCCAAAGTGACATATTGCACTTTAAGAACAGTGCAAATCTGTTTGCACACACACACACACACACACACACACACACACACACACACACACACACACACACACACACACACTCCTTCACCTCCACCCTCCTCCACCTCCTCCTCTTCATTTAAACCGCAGGGAAACCCCATCGGAGCACCAGACGCACTCTGATGGAGAAAGCAGAATCCGCAGACACCAGCTGTCCGCGTCGCGCTGCCTTTTACCAGCCGAACATTTTTGCATCCGAGGAAAAAACTTTTTTGTGTTGTTTTTGTTCCCGTCTGATCATAGAGAAAGCTCCGTTTTAAAAATAAACGGATTAATTACGGGGGGGAATTCATTTTACCGTAACATATTTTCTTTTTTTTATTATTTGTGACTGAGTTAAAGTTTTTTTTTGTTTTTTTTTTACTTTTAAGGACGAACTCGCTTCGATTTCCCCCCAGAAGAGAAAACAACACCACCTGGCGATTAGCACCGTCCGTGGTCCCAGGTCCCCGGCACCATGCTGTCCAGCGTGCGCCGCCACAGCCTCCGCCTGCAGAACGAGCTCCACCGGTGGAGCATCTGCGACCCGGGCAGCCAGCTGCTCTCGGACGGCCGGCTCCTCGCCCGGGGCCCCGCCTGCATGTCCCGCTCCAAGTCCTGCACCGGCTCCGCCGAGGAGTCGGACGGGAGCCGCAGGAGCTGGTCCTCCTCCGACTCGGTCCGCTCTACCGACTCCTCCGGGGATGCGGGGCGGGCACCCGGGGGGCCGTACCGGGTGGTGCTGCTGGGGGCCAGCGGGGTGGGCAAAACGGCCTTCAGCAGCATCTTCGCCGGGGCGGCGGACAGCATGGACAGCGATGACTGCGAGCTGTGTGCCGGTGAGGAAAAGACAGCTACACGGGGATTTATGACTACAGGCTGCTGTTAACCAGCAAATCCGCCTTATTTTTAGAATACATTTCAGATGAACACAAACAAACCTAATACTAATTCTATTTAATAAATGCATCACGGCACTTGAATATTATCACATCAGAATGGTTGAAATTCTGAAAAGGTCACGGTGATCTCTCTTGAGCATCATAAATGTGTTTATTTCCTTTCTTATAATTACACAATTTGCTCTCACCTAAATGGAAAAAGTCTATCATCATCCAAATGTTTTCTTTTCTTTTGTCTATAATTTCAGATGAAGTGTGTGAAAAGAAAATTGAAGTGGATGGAGAAGCTGCAACTATAACTCTGCTGGACACATCGGATGCAGAGGTGGGATGAAAAGCATCCCCGTGGACTTGTGTGTAAATGACCACAGCGCACGCCGCGCACCCTGTAACTCCTGCATTTAACCCTGTTTGCCTTTGCAGACCGACGACGGTCCGGCTCGGGAGCACTACATGCAGACGGGCGACGCCTACCTGTTGCTGTACTCTGTGACAGACCGGGCCTCTTTCCTCCGAGCCTCCGAGCTCCGGATCACCCTGCGGCGCTTCCGCCCTGCGCAGCACACGCCGATCATCCTGGTGGGGAACAAATGTGACCTGGCGCGACGCAGAGAGGTGTCAGTAAACGGTGAGGAGACGCAACGCTTCTTGTGTGTGGATGAGGTTCGACCTCTCTCGGACATGCAGGTGCCGACCGTTGCCCTTTCTGTTTCAGAGGGTCGCGCCTGCGCAGCTGTGTTTGACTGCAAGTTCATCGAAACCTCAGCCGCCGTGCAGCACAACATCTGGGAGGCTTTCCACGGCATGGTGCGACAGCTGCGGCTACGCCGAGATTCCAAGGAGGCCAACAGGCGGCGCAGGCACACGTACTGCAACGCGCGGCGCGAGAGCCTCCCCATGAAGGCCAAGCGCTTCCTCGACAAGGTGATGGCGAAGAACAATCCCAGCGTGGCGTTCTGGCTGAAATCAAAGTCCTGTCATGATCTTTCTGTGCTGTAGAAACATAAGCAGAAGCGGGCGTTTAAATGTACGCCAAACCTTTTGAGCAGGTGAACAAGTGGCTGCTTGGAGAGCAGAATTGGTGGACGCCCGATGCCTTTAAGGGGCCACACGTTGGGTGGCGCAGTCCTGGGTGTGTTGACACCAGGCCGGTCTGGTGTACAAGAGAGGGGGTTTGCAGGCTTCCTGCACTGACATCCACATGTTGAGGTCCAAACCGGACTCAGTGGACGCAGCTCCGCCCGTGTAATGGACCGGAACAATCGGCTAATGAAGTGACGTTTCCTGTTTAACGTCTGCCTCTACTTTGGAGGTTAGAAACCTTCTGATGGAAACTGGGAGACGGATGTTATGTTTTGTGTTTTAAATGTTAATATTAATGTCTTTTCTCTTTGATAATTTGCATGAGGAACATTTAGTTGACTGTCTTTCTTTTTTTTTATTAATAATGTGTGTTTTTCACTGACTGTAAATACATTGCGATTATGTGTTGTGTTTTGTTACCTGTATGTTTAAATTTTGCTCTTAGAAATAAAGTGACATCATCCAATTTAAGAAAATTGCCACTTTCGTCTGTCATCTGAACCTCACTAATGAGATATTACAATGGGTGACTCAGCTTTGACACAAAAGAGAGGCACTTATGCAAACCAGAACAAAACAGTGATGAGTCAGTGACATTAAAGCTGAACTTTCAATAACAAATTTAGTCCCCTGAAAGTTGATGTCAGCGGATTGAGCGCCGGTCCTGTTCCAAAACTGTAAATACAGTCAAATACGTTGCCATGGCAACATTCAGAGGAGCCTGAGAAGAATGTTTGGTAGGTTCAGTATCAGGCAGATGGTGTTGATTCTCACCCGCCAGAATATCCGCTCTATTTGAATGAGTGGCTTCATCCGCTGAACCGCCAACACGGGCCGTCACAGGTTCTGGTTAAATAACAGTGCTGTGAAATGAAGACTCACAGGTTTAATAAACTCTCTGCCTTGTTTCTGTGCAGCGTGTAAAGCTTGGTGTGGTGGTGCGCGTCAGGTGCTTGGTAAGATAAAGCCAGCCATGTGTGTTGTTAGGTGGTTGTGAAGGTAAAGGACAAACCTTGATGAGGAATCAAAGGATCTTTTGGGCATTTCTGCCGCATTCACTTATGGACTTTCTAGTGTTGGAAAGATCTTCGAGACAAAGCTGCAATCACACCGGCTTTTAGCAGTTTTATAGCTGTGCCTCGACCTGCCCGATCACACCAGATGACCCCATAGGTTTGCATTCTTATGATGCATTGGATTGTTAGTGTAATCTGTTACTCCGGTTGTCTACACACAATGCTCCTTATCAGGGACTGATACCAATGGAAAATCTTACAGGAAACACTGCAGAGGTGCAGAGGTCAAAGTCTGAGGGGACATTAGAACGGACATGCCGAACACCGGATATCTAGAGAAATCTGCCCCATTGATACACTGTCTTTGGCCTCTTTTGTTCATAACTCACACACATGCAGACTTAAAGTACTTGACTAATGTGAGATTCCTTCAACTTTATTGTTTTTACAAATAACACCCACAAAGAGAACTCCATATATAAGCGTTTAAGAGTGAAATCAGCAGCTAATATTAAGTTTTAACGGTCTTTGAATTGGTATTTTACAGTACTGTACGTAGCATTGCGGCACTGTTCTTCCTGTCTCTCGTCAGCTTCTCCCCATTGGTTCGCTCCACATGAGGGAAGGGTGATTAGACAATCATTAGATCCAATAAAACATTGCTGGTTAACACAAGTTAACGTTTGACTAGAAAAGGATGCAGCTGCTCAGACCACACTGAGGCCTCAAGAGTGAGTCGCTCAATCGCTCCGATAAGGTAAGTCTCCTCGCTTTGCTGTTTCCCAACTTGGGACATTTTGAGTCTTTGGAGTAGTTATTGCTGTGTGAATCGGACACACACTGGACTGCCACCGTTGGTTTTACCAGACTGTGATAGATGTGTCACATGGTTTAAGTTTCTCTTAAAAGTTCCCTGATCTTCACTTGACTTTGGCCGGGCCTCAGCGGCCTGTCGTCCGTCGTGGCTTCCTGGATTGTTGCTCCTGGCGTATCAGGAAGATTATCACATTTATCTGGAATCTAAGTTAAAACAAAATCTCCGTAAATTGGTGATTGTAGTAATGGTTTGTTAGTTAAAACATGACAGTCAACAGAGATATCTTTCAACATGGAGACAGAAATGCTAATACTAGTATTAAAGTATCTCATAATAATCCAAGTAAAATTGTTGTTTTCTTAAAAACGAGTGCACGATGGTGGTGACAAAGGGTGCTACGCTACAAAAAGGTCATTGGCTATGACTCAATGTCACCTTCACTTGTCTGGGCCGGCTGACTTTACTCTTCTCTTTGCCTGCACTTTAGTCTGCAGATCCTCAACCTGTTACCTTATCAATACTGACACTAATAACAGTTTTGTTTGACGTGAAATGATTCATTTCTTCCTGTTACCCAAAGCAGTGTCCATGCAATCTTAAACAGTACTTTATATATTCATCTGCCATTAGAATTTAACACTGTATAATATCTTTGATCCATCCTCATCGTGGTCAAAGGAATTGATACACTATGATAATTCATCTATTATGTGGCTTCCGTGTGTCAGATAGACAGTAAATGTGTTTGTTTTCATTATTATTATAACTAAATGACCACACCCGCACATACTAAATACACAAGGACGGCTGCTCTAAAGTCACTGAGGTTAAACACTGCTCACTGACCTTTGGGTACCTGCGTCATATTAACACCTTAGTGTGGACACATTTGACGCAAGTCTGGCATTTCATGAAAGCTCCGACTTTCAGTTTCTTCTGTGTCCTTATGAGAAAGGTTAACCTGCTCGTGTAGGTGGAGTCACATACATGTGTGGATGCCCTGAGACACATGACAGATTTCCTCTGTCCATCCTCCTTATTAATCAATAACTCCTCCTGCGGAATGTAGAAAGTAATGTACTGAGGCACGGCACGGTAAATGTTAGCTGCGCAACAATTATCCACACCAGTTTTCATTATTTCTACAGGCATCAGATGTGAATTAAACAGCGAATAATTAGCCTTGTAAAATTGAAATGTCTAATTGAAATCCTCCTCTCATATCACCTTCCTTCCTCCCGAGCCTCCTGCTTTCTCCTTCTCCATTAATTCATATCCCCCTGTCTCCTCCTCCCACTTTTTCTTCCCAGAGTGTGAACATGACACCCATGATGCATCTGTTGTTGCTCCCGCTCCTTTGCAGCATTGTAAGTACATAACTGCCAACTGTTGCCACTGTCCTTCAATACATATTCAGTAGATGCACAAACACAGCAACCTGTAAACTAATGCTTGTTGCATCTTGTGCAAGGAAAATGTCAAAGGTTAAAGGAAGATGTGTAAGAAAAGCTTTGGTAACTTATTTGAAACTGAAATAAAGTCCAAATTGTTACTAAACTGAGGATCGGCCCTTTGTCTGTAGACTTTGCTCCCCTGTGATGCAGTGGGATGTGAGATTTCCCCCACTCGTCATTTTGGTTCAATAAATAACTGGGCTGTAAAAACCGGGCCTCCACACCTGACTTCATTCAGCTCTGGTACAGAATGTGTTTAAAGGGCAAATGTGGGCGTGAGTGAGAGAAGGTCAATTCTACCTCAGCCTGTGCTATGGTCAATGACCTTTGAACCTCTGTTTCTCTGCTCTGATAGGTTGCTGGGAAGGACCTGGATGAAAAGAAGGGCGCGTTCGAGAACACAGCGCTGGATGTGCCGGAGGACACACCGGTGCCGTATCCCGTGCATCAGGTATTACACACATGCCGGCAGTGGAACATAGATAGAAGTACTCAAGTATTGTATTCAAGCACAATTTTACTGACTTTTTGCATCTATTTACATTTTGACTACTTTACACTTCTGTATGACATTTCAAAAATAAATATTCTAGTTTTTACTAAATTGCATTAGTAAGAGCTATAGTTATGAATTTATTTTTAAGTTGAGATCTGGCATTGGGTTTTCGAAATGCAGTATAAAACCGTACTTATATCTACCGGTGGCCCTTTTTTTTTTACATGTTTCCAATTTTCTTTTACCAAAGACTGATTTTCTCATTAAACAGTGTTTAATTGTTGATTATTGATTGAATCGAATCGAGAGGAAACCTTCTTCAATATATACAAGTTTCAAAATGATTGGAGAAAAGCAGAAAAATCTAACTTCTAAGTATCTTACAACCCCTGTGATTCATTTTGTGAACATTTTCAGGGGGCCCAAATCCCAAATAGATGGACAAGCACTTAACTGGTTTCTTTTGTTGCTGTTTGTGTGAAGAAATATGACGATAAATGGCTTAATATTTACTGTAATGTTGTATGCATGTTTCTACCCTCTTCCCCATCTTTCATATAGTTTCAAGTGGCCCATCCAGGGGTTAATAGCTTCAGGTTGAGTGGAGAAGGTAAGGAAGACATCAAGATTTCAAAGGACGGGTGGCTCTACCTGGAAAAGCCTCTGGACTGGTCCCAAGATGACCATTACACCATAATGGTTCGGTGTTTCTCTTTCTTCTTCTAAAAACAAAGAAAATAAAACGTTGACAATACAGCAGCAATAAAATGTGTATTTTTACATACTTGTGTTCACGTGTGCGTCTATTAACAGGTGGAGGCGCTGGCAGATGATGAAGTTGTGGAAGGACCAGTTTATGTGACCATAAATGTTTTGGACGTCAACAACAACGCTCCATTCTTCAACCAGAGCGTGTACACAGCTGCTGTCAGGGAAAACCATCCAGCGGGTGTGTGTTTACAGTGGCATCCATTCAAATGTGGATCCATGACAGAAATTGAAAATGGGATTTAAAGCCCATAGGCCTTCCTGCGCATTAGTGCCACCTTTATTTGAAATTGTGTGAAATCACTGAGGACTGTGTAGTGTTCACCTGCATGCACATCTAAGGTAAACATTATACAGTTTCAATATAACGTTAGAACAAGTATTTAAATACACTCAGATAACTTACATAATCTTTATAAGCCTATAAACTGCTAAGTGCTTTCCAGGATGCAACTTGACGCAATCATTAGACAACTGTGACAAAGCGACAAAGGGGAACTAATGGCTATGGTTATATTACATATAGCATATGCGTTCATTGACATCCAGTGTTAACCCTCTGTTTTATCGTACTCAGGATGTCTTGTTACTGAAGTGAGACTTTAACATCAGTTTTCTTCTTCAAGGTGTCCCATTTATTCGCGTGTTTGCGTCGGATCACGACGACCCGGAGACTCCCAACGCTCGTCTGAGCTACAGCCTGGTCAGCCAGATCCCCAACAAACCCCCCACCCCCCTGTTCCACATCGACCCCGACACCGGAGAGATCTCCACCACAGAAGCAGGTGATAGCAGAACTAGGTGCTCTGTCTGGGGGAATGCTTATAATATGTCTATCTCTGTCTGTAATCTGGCCCTATAGTGCCACCGTTAATCCAGATTACACGGCTCATCTTGGGTGATCAAGATTAAAAGCTCAGTGGAGACATCCTGATCGCTGATTACTTTGAGTGTGTGTGAGCACAATGACACTGTGTTTGAAGATGGCTGTTTACATCTGTGACCTGTTTGGCATTGTTCTGAACTATATTTGACAGACATGTGTTCTTTGACAGGGACACAGCAGCTCAAAGCCAGGGAAGGCATCCGTTATGGCAGAGGAGAAGACCAGAGCATTGATGCTCTGAGGACAAAGTTTAACGACTACTGTCCAGTGCAGAAGATCCCCTTCGACGAAAACCCCTTCTTCACCTGCGTGGAAAGAGCAGGTTTGCGTCCAAAAGAACCAGATGAAACTTCTCCAAAAATGTTTAAAACCTCTAATCTGCAGAGTGAAGTGTGGCTCACAACTCCATACACAGAGTTTATTTTGACACATTGGTGTCTAAAGTCTTAAAAGTGACCTCACACACAGTGTTAGTTGTGTGTAATAAGGAAACGACTGTCCAGGGACGAGTGCTCGTGGGAATTCTTTGGGTGTTGAGTTGATGAGTTCAGCCGGGAGAGAGCGGTTAAGCCTCCACGACCTAGTTTTACAAAATTGGAGATCTAGTTTACATTGCGCAACCTTTAACTCTTTCTGGCTTACATTGCAACTTTCATTTTTCTCTGGGGTGTCAGAGATTAGGAGGAGAAATGTGGACCCCTTGGAGGACCCAGACTACACCCTGACAGTGCGCGTGCAGGACCTGGGAGGAGCGTCGGAGACAGCGCTGAGTGGCAACACCAGGGTGCAGATTGTTGTGCAGCAGAACCTGTGGGTCAATCCTGGACCCATTACTGTTAGAGAGCACTTAAAGGAAACGTACCCTGTGGTCATCGCAAAGGTGCGCTGGGATGTCAGCTCTGCAAAAATCGCACAAATGCAGATACGTTAAAGTGAACACGCTCACTTTACCTATTCCGTATCCAGTAAATAACCGTCCTACATTGGCCTCTTTCCCACGTTTTGGATCCAGGTCGAGTCTAATGATCCGGACGCCGTGTACGTGTTAATGCAGAAAGAACGAGAGCAGAAATTCCCCTTCCAGATCACACCGGATGGAGAAATACATCTGACAGAGGAGCTGGACAGAGAAGACAAAGACATGGTACAGTATACAGGCTTTGTTTGGTGAATGCATCTTTTTTATCCCATCTAAAAACAATTATTCTTGAACTTGTGTTGGTTGTGTTTCAGTACATCCTGGTGGTGTTCGCATTAGATATCGACGACAAACAGGTGGAATCACCAATGGAGATTCAGGTCTTGGTGGAGGATGTGAACGACAACGCACCAGTTTGTGTACATCAGGAGAGTGTGTTTGAGGTGCAGGAGGGTGAGCCGGGAGGTAAGATGTGTGTCTGTGTGTGTGTGTGTGATCATGACATAACACATTCATGGCGTAGAGCTTGTTACATGTGCTTGAAGGTCGCTATGATGCCGTAGTTTATCTTAAAGTTCTCTTCTCTTGCTTTGAATTTATCCTTTCCATTCCTTCTTCTGAGTCCAAACTCATCAAAGATTTATACTTAAGATTGATTTAAGAATGGTTGTTTGGAGTGAAAAGAGTACTTACACATTTAAAAAAATGCAAATCCTGTTTTTAAAGTATAAAAGGATAAGTATTGAAATGCGTATTCTGCATAATGACACATGTTTTGTTATCTTTTTATATCTATAAATACATCACAATTACATAAATGCTGCATCTATATATAACTACTTTATGTAGTAATACATTATTATATTGTAGAGGCATGTTTTAAATTCAACAATGTAAAAAAAGTACACTAAAATGTCAGTGAAATGGCTGAAACTTAAACAAAAGGAGAAATATCATGAGACAGAATGACCAGTGCCGTGAAAGAGGCATTGAAAGTTGTTGTGAGCAGATTCTGAATCTAGCTTCAATTTTTGTTGGACACCGCAGTCGTGCACAGTGGGATTTACTCTCTGTCAGAGAAAACAACTCAGAGTCGTCTGGAGATCTCTTGAATTCAACAGTGTTTTTGTTCCTCTTACGCTTGTCATACTTGTGGTTCCAGGCAGCCTGGTCGGCCTTTTGTTGGCCCGTGACGACGATCAAGCCGGGACACTGAACTCTCAGCTGACTTACGCCATCGTGTCCCAAGATCCACTCAACTCAGCCAACGTCTTCTCCATCGACGCTGCTTCTGGAAGAATCCAGGTCCTGCGGCCGCTGCAGCGCAGAGACCAGCAGACGTTCAACCTCAACGTCAGAGTCAACGACGCAGGTAACGCGCAAACTGTGACGTTCAACACAACTCTAAATAGAGATTGAGTCTTTTTTTAACCTCACGTGCTTTTTTGTGTCAAGGTTTCAGCACAGAATGTAAGGTCGTCGTCAAGGTCATCGACATCAACAACGAGTTGCCCCTTTTCGAGGAGAACAACGTAAGCAATCGGGACACCTTCTCTGCATCGGGTTTCTCGTGCTGTTTGGCTGATTTTCTCCATGTTTCCGTGTCCGTGTGCAGTATGGCGGTCACACTCTATCGGAGGACACCCCAGTGGGACACACGGTGGTGACCATCAGAGCATCAGACGCTGATGACCCCGACAGCGGCAGCTCCCTCATTGAGTTCACGATCACCGCCGGCGACGACGAAGGGATTTTCACCGTGAAAACCGACGGGAAAGGCGTCGGCCATCTGGTCGTAGTTAAGGTACCTTATCTCCCACAAAAACACACTCAGATCATGTCATACAACAACCTCTTTGTGTTTTATATAGGCATGCAACTTTTGATCTTTTCCGTTAACACATTTAATGTCAAAAAATGTGTGCTCTTTAAAATGGTTGGTTATTGTCAAATTTATAATTATATGAAAAGGAAAACCTGCAAATCCTCCTATTTGACAACCGAAGTAATCTGATATAAAAACACTCGCAATATCAGAAAAATATTACAGATCACATTTATTGCTTAATGGATTTACCTATAAAAATTGTCCTTTCAAACCCTATCGCTAGTGGATTTGGATTTTTACTACTTGTTTATGAAGCAATGAGATAATGTTCAATAATTCTCAAGGTATTGGTGCGTATTGTGAATGTTAAATGTCTAGGACAAGCAGAGAGTATTCTCCAGCTCAAGGATGTGTGACAGAGTCACTTCAACACGCTCCACGCTGCCTTCCTGTCTCCTAACAGCCTCTGGACTTCGAGTCCTCCGCCTCCTACAGGCTCCAGATAGATGCTCGTAACCCAGAGCCGCTGGTGAAGGGTCTGGAGTACGGCAGCGAATCCACAGCCTCCGTCTCAGTGTCTCTCACCGACGTGGACGAGGCTCCTGAGTTCAGTCTGGACATCCTGGATGTGACTGTGCCCGAAGACACCACCAAGGGATCGGTGCTGCTCACTGTGCAGGCGAAGGATCCAGAGGGCAAAGAGATCAGGTGCGCAGACAGAACCCTAAGACGACGCGGGGGAAATAAAGGAAATAATAACACCATAACTCATCATGAATTAATCCGTCAACAAGTATTGTCTGCGTAGCAGAAGCCTGATTTTGAATTGCAAACCTGTGTAAAGATGTCAGAGATGGTTAGAGAGTTGGGAAGTTGAAGGTCTACTAACATATTGTTGGTCTTGAGGCGTTTCATGGTTTTTAGAAATTGAAAATGACACCAGCCTAATGCGTTAAACTGCAGTTTGTCCAAGGCCCCTTAAGACCTTAAAAACTGGAATGTGCCCAAAGGGGAAATTTGTGGTACGACCCAATAAACGATGGACATGTAGACACAATTGACGTAACTGTGTAGGATTTAGGAGGCTTGATTGGCTGAAATCCCAAATATGATATTCATAACTATGTTTTCGGTAAATAAACCAAAATTGTGTTTTTGGAGCGGGTCCTCTTCACGTCAGCCATGTTGAAGGGGCAAACCAAATTCCGTCTCCAAAGGGGGCATATTGTGTCTTTATGTTACCTGAAAGCCACTGTAGTTCTGTGACACACTTGGAGAGTGGAGGAGTTTTCAGCTGGACACAATCTGCAATCTTAAATCCTGCACACAGAAGACCACAACTAAACACTTATAGTGTGCTCCACTATGTACACAATGTCCATGTTTATCACTTCACCAGCTTTAATAACATGTGGTGTACGATGGGCGCCTGAGCACAAACACACACATGCATGGATTTCATAACTTAGGAATTGTTCCGGTAGAAAAGCTCTGGCTTTGTTTATTAACATTACTGCTGCTCGTGGACTATTGATTTGTTTGATATGTGCTCTGCGTATGTGTGTTGTGCAGTTTTAAGATGGACGGTGACACTCGCGGCTGGCTGACGATCGATGCCGCCACAGGAGAGATCAAGACAAAAGACAAGTTGGACAGAGAGATCCAGGAGACTTTTGAAGTCACTGTCACTGCGTTTGAGAAGGGTGAGATATTAGGCTCCTACAATAGTTCATTGTATATTTTTGTGTATTGTTCATCATCTCCGACAAACTGTTAAATCAACGAGGCATTTCAACACTTTCTGACTCCTCTCTTAAGATAATCCGGTAAAGTTGTCTGAGCGTGTCGTTCATGTGAGGCTGCTGGATGTGAACGACAACGTGCCCAAACTGATGGAGACCCAGGCCTTCATCTGTGTGAGGAAGCCTCAACCTGTGATCATCAAGGCCCAAGACGCGGACAGCAGCCCCTTCTCCCAGCCCTTCACCTTCGCTTTCGCCCACGGCAAGAAATCCCCCAACTGGGAACTGAAAAGTATCGACGGTAAGCCGACACACTTAAAGAGCTGTGCTGAAGTGAGGTATGTAAAGATGGGGTCAAATTGAGCTGCACGTTTAATTCATTGCATTGTGTGTATGTTTCTATGTCATGCAGCTACAGCAGCTAAGCTGACCCTGAGGAAAGCACCGACGGAAGATAAAACTTTCATTCTCCCCATTAATATCAAAGACAACGCCGGCATGGGGATCACACAATCGTTTGAGGGTGAGTTCATTCTATAAGTTGAGTTTAAAGGATAAATCTGAGGACCAATTCTAGAAAAAAGACAATAACCAGCATTGTGTTGAGTTTTCTTTGAAGTTAAAGCATGATAACGTTTATGCCTCTGTGCCATAGAATCAACTGTTGTCCAAAAACGCAATTAAAAACTCAGACATTAGCCACGTTGTTTCAGTGAGTGACAGATCATTACTGTGAACCTCTTGACCTTTTGACATAATCCCATTCATTACACCGTTGCTGTAAGTACTGCACAAAATGTATATTAATTTGGTGCTGGAAATAGTCCCCATCAACTATGTTATTTTCTTAAAATAATTGAATTAAAATTCAATGAAAATATTGTAACTGGCTGTTTAAGGAAATGACTGTGCTCCTCTGTTCCCTTAAAAAAATCCAATTATTTTTCAGTCTTCAGAAATAACAACAGTGCTTGTGTTTAAGAGCTCTTCATATATTTATTTTAGCATGACAAGACATGCAATTAAATAAGATATTGGTTTTGTAAGGTAAACTAACAAGGTTAATTAACATATTTTTTTGTCGCCCTATACGGCATTCACGTGTGTTTGTTCTCTCCTCTGTCTAACAGTGCGAGTGTGTAACTGCACGGATCTGGGCTACTGCTACATTGCACCGGAGGAACGGGCCCTGGGTTATGGGATAGGACCCACCATCGGGATCATTGGTGGCACTGTTGGTTTCTGCAGTGAGTCTCCATATAAAACCCACACATGGATGAGCGATTATCCGGCACATTCTGATGTTATCATCTGGTTCTCAGTCGATGATGCTGACTCCATTTTGCTTTTGCTTTTGTCTCGTTGCAGTTATTGCTTTCATCATAGTGATCAAACGTTCGAACAAAAGGAACAAGAAGACGACCCTGGCTGACGGAGAAGAGAGGGCCTTTATGTAGTCACACACAAACACATATTTCTACTTCTATACAAAGGACTTTCTCTGTCACATTTCCGTGCGCCATCCTCAAACCAAGACCTGGCAGATTACAGTTGTTTTTGCAGTTGCTTTAAAAAATAATTATTAACACCCACACACATTCATACATAACATTATTTTATTTACAGGATAGAGCCGCTTTGTCAATGCTTTGAATACCTAATTACAGTCACATGTCCCATTCTAATCATGCATATGTGCGTTGAGATATAAACTAAAGACATTTGTGTATAATAACAAAAACAGTCTTTTGTGAGAAGCGACCTCTATTTCTAATAAACCTGGGGACACTTTGGTTTTCACCTTGTCATTGTGCGTTTCAGCCTGTGTGTGTGTGTGTGAACAGCAGTGCACCGCAACATGTGTACACGTGTGTCTATTTTCTTACCTCGACAGTACACGTGTGTGCAGTCAGCTCGTAACAAATAACTTTATCTCTGCTCTGTCTGTCTGTAAGTCACATTTACTCTGTGCTTGTAGTCAGCACCGTTGAATTAGTCATTTTCTTTCTCCAAGTCTGTCGCTTAGCAGTCAAAGTACTGCAGACAGTGATGCTCTGAGTCATCTCTTTAACAGCGGGAGGCAGGCGGCCGATTGTTAGAGGCGCTGAAAGGATGAATTGGCAGGATCGTGGGCTTTGATGGAGCACAAAGAGGCCGCTGCGCACCAAAGAAAATGACGCATCCACGTGAGAGTTGAACGTGGCTGTCGCATGTGCCGCCATGACCGCGCGTCCTCCCATGTCCAGGCGTCCATGTTGGTGAGTAGCGGTGAGCGTGTTCGGGGTGAGTCATCGCACTGGTCTGATGCAGGTTCCAAAAGACAAAACCAAGAACAGTGTCAGAGTGAGGGGACTGAGAAATGGCCTCATGATGACAAACTCAACACGGAGCCGCGTCTGCACTCTCTCCTCTGCTGTATCCCGGCAACACTTTCCACAACACACACACAGAGACACACACACACACACACACACACACAGTCTTGGGAGAGTTGATGGGAGAATTTGAAAGAAAGAGAGCGTAAACAGTGTGGGTTAAAAAATAGAAAACATTATTACCCTGATTTATAATACTACATTTCCATTTTTCATGTAATTTCTTTGTCATTTTACATGTTACTACTATTTGAATGATAATCTTTCATTTTACATTGAATTCGTTGTTGGATATTCCTGGCTATTACCCGAACCACCTTTGTCTTGCAAAAGAGCCCAAAACTGAAATTCAGTTTCTCTGGGGTACACTTTTCTGTGTGTTTTCCACAAAGTGGGTAACGTGACATGTCATTTTTTAAATGTTATAATTTGGCAAAAGGGACTTAAATGATCCATTCTGCTTTTAAGTATGAACTAAATATGTCACTTTATAAATAATAGTTAATTCTGTGTGGATAAAACTGAATTTTCAAATCATTTTACAGAATGCACCATCACAAATTGTGACAATTGATCATATCACCAGATTTGATGATATGGAGCTCTTCTCTGTTCGGTTAGGGTTAGTAGGTCAGAGAAAGACATGGTCTTATTGGTGTGTAATAAAACTCCAATCTGGGATGAGTTGTATTACACATTCTGCATTTTTAGCACAGAAAAGTTTGAGCATGAAAACAAATTCTGTTGACAAATGTCGCTCGGCCTGCTTTCACGAACTCGTCCTGGAAAAAAAAAACATGTGTGCACCACTGACCAAAAGAGGATTATTCCCAGTGAACTAACTGGATGCCACCTAGAAACCAGACACACCAGTTGTTCCGGACGCTTACAGCATGTAAACATTATGACAACCAACGAGAGCTGTTGCCTCAAGAGTCAAGCTTCGTCTTTGTGACACAACAGGAAATGGGACTGAATCAAAAGTATAATTTGTAAATAAACAATCTCAACGTTTGATATATATTTTCTCAGAGCTTGAATAGTTAAACCTCCTCACACCGTTTTAATACCGCAGCATCATCTAGCGGCGGTTACCTGACTTGGTGTTTATTTTAAGAGGAGTAAGTACTCAGATCCTTTGTTTGATCAACTAAGCAATGCAGACGGATTTTCTAGTTTTATATTAGAATCTGTAAGCTAAAGCTGTGGAGTGAAAAGAACAATGAATCTCTGAAGGAGAAAAATGGAAACACATAAAGTGAAGTATCCTTAAATATGTGGCGACAGTCACACCCGCAGCCTGAGAACAACCGTCCTGGTGGTTGAGGATTAACCGAAGCAGTGAGGCGTATTCAGCGCTTTATTAAACCGTTCCACAAAACGTAACCCGCATAACTTATAATTCATAAATACAACTTTAGATAAGCTGTGTAACATAAAGCAAGAGCTGAATAAATAATGTTTACAACTCAAAGGGTGTTTCACAAAATGTACATTCGTTTGGGTTTTACACTAAACACACAATCGTTCAACTAGTTTTAGGAGAACGCTCCTGTGTTACTACTCACTAACATACTGACTTTGAATCTCTCCCCACTACAAACCAAAGTGGCGCTGTAATATGCAAGTAGAGAGTATTATACACATAATTGTTACTTCTACAGTCTACCATTAGTGGTGCACTCTGCATGACTCTGCAGTCTGTACATTTTGCATGTGCAATGCACCATATTGCATTTGAGATGCAACCACCTCTAGTTTGGTGGTTTCCCGCCTTTTGGCTTGTGAAATACTTTCACTTTAAAAAGGTATCCAGTTTTGATTTAAAATAGACGCACTCTCATCTTGGAACCCCTGAAACAGATCGTTGGGCTCGTGAGGGTGTGCCATGCAGTGTAGTCACCACTACACTATAGTGTTATCTCTCATGTCTAATGGCTACTTTAGGGTACTACATTGTTAACCCAATTTGGATGTACACACATTTGAGCTCAAAGTCAGTAGTTGACACAATCACTTTGGCCTGAAAGCCAGTGCGTCGTCATCATCATCTATATACCCACAGCCTTAAGTATAAATGTTTACGTTTGGACAGTACAACTATATCATACAATGAAGGAGTAAAAACATACAGATGCAACAGTCCCCAGTTGTAACAGACTCAGTATAGAAAGTAAGACGAAATGTGCCCGGGATGCAAATAACCCCCGAGAGGAGAGCGTTGGCAATCAAATGGCAAGAGAAGCGGGTCCAGTCGGGACGTCCTGAACTGCAACCTTTTTACTTCCTAAGACCCGACTCACCATCTTCTCTGGATGGTGTCAACCCTGCATCGTCTTTCAGCAATGAAAGGAAGTTGACACTTTTCGCGGAAAACTGTAACAAGCGTCTTTTTAGCGACGCAGATTTGAACTTGATGTACTATATGTTGTACTAATTATATATATATATATATATGACACTTCAATCTAGGGAAGATACTTTACCTTCATGAGGAAGCAGGGCCTCCTCTAGCACTGCATACAAACATACAAATTATTTATATATTTAAAGTTAAAACAATTCTTCCGGCTGCTGGACAGATGTTTTCTTAGTATGACCTTTTTGTCCGCAGAGGGTCCCCGTGTGTAATGTACACAGTTACACCAGAGTGCGCCCTCCTCCCGCAGGACCTTTTATACAACTCAGCACTGCGCCTCTGGCCTCTGTGCTCCAAACACGTGAGGGTTGAACTGAGAGATGATGATGGTGATGTCGTCGCGGTACATGCGAGCCAGCTCCTCGGGCAGCGACAGCATTTTTGACAGCCTCTCGTGGTCGACCGTGCCGAATTCGTTGTTTCCCACCGCATGACGAATCAGGTGGGTCGCCGAGTTCTGATCCTCGAAAGCCGAAGATATGCGGGCCTTCCTCTCTTCGAGCAGCCCCTGCATCTGCCCCAGGGTGACCTTGTAGCCTCCGACTTTGAGGGGCTGACGCAGGTGCACCCCGGTCAAATACTCGCCGACAATACGAACCACTTCCTGTCTGTGGAGGGTCTCCCAGAGGCCATCAGAGCCGATGACCTGAAAGAACGGAGGAGAGTTGGAATCCGAAAACACACACCGGTGGTACGTCATGTCGCTCTGTCGAGCTTCATTGCAAAGCACTGAATGTCGATTGTGAAACTGGAGAAGAATCTTTCACAAACTGCAGCCTTTGTCTGTCATGCCAAACTAAAGAGCCAACCCTAAAAGTTGGCTGATTCCTTTTTTTTTAAAGCCCACCCAACTGGTGCGTCTGGGATGGAAATAACAGAGCAAACACCTGCATGAACAGTACATTCAGAGCGGATCGGTCTTCCCTCACCATGAAGCGATCCTGTGGACGCAGTTTGTGGTACGTGATCTCCGGCTCGGCGGTCAGGTAGGGGGGCGTGTGGTAGTTGGGAGGGATGAACTTGGTGTGCTCGTTTTCATGGAGCTGATCCGGTCCGGACTCCAACACGCCCTTCTGCAGTTCGATACTCCACTTGAACTTCACATCCCCAAACGCCCGTAGTGGCATGAGGAGGCCGAGCAAACGGTCCTGGTAAAGAAGGTGACAGAGAGATGGTAAGAGGTTTTAATAAATGCTGGAGCAACAACAACAACAACAACCACATTGTGCCGATTAGTAGGCGCATCACCTGTCGGATCACGGTCTTTCTCTCTGACGGAGGGTGTTCAGCGCGTATCCGAGCCACCTCTTCCTCATTCTGGGCGCTGTGGTCATTAGAGAGTGTGTGAGCGCTGAACGAACCATCCTCCGCCTGCACCCCCAGCACCGCCCGAGCGTCGCCCGAGTTGGCTATAAACCTTTAGGAAGAGAAAGACGAAGAAGCAAGGCTCAGAATGTCAGTTTGGTTTAAATGTGTGCGCGTTTTCATCCTCCTTACAGGTCTGATCCATTGATGTGAGCCACACAGGCCGTCGCTCCAGAAAAGGCCACTCTCAGGACCCAGTAATGCAGGTAAGCATTTGGGTCACCAACCTGCGTGGCAGAATAACGCCGTGAGTGATTTAACAATGAATGGCTTATGTAGACAAGTCATTTGCAACATTGAACAAAACCGTTATCCAAACCAAGAGCCTATTTCACTGTGTTTGTTTGCGGAGTGAAACCTAGAATGGGGCCATAAATCAAGAGAACGTGCAAAACTTGCTTTGGGATTTTCTAAGTTTAGGACTCATTCTGAGTGCCTCATAGAAGCACTTTTTTAGGTTGAAACAGCACGCGGCCATTACCTGAGCCTCCAGGGAAATGTCACTGTCCAGCCTCTTGAAGGCATTCAGCAGCGCCTCGCGGGTTTCGGGAATATCACCCGGGCTGAAAACAGAGAAAAGGGAGCAATGTGTGTGAAACATAAGGACAGAGAAAAGAGAAAAGCAATATGGGCAAAACAACAGCCGGGTCAGTGTTGGCGTTTGCGTGTTGAACGGAGGTCCAGTTGAAAATGAAACCAGGAAATTTGGTTTGAAATGATAGGATAAGCAAAGAAATCCGACAGCACATGATACCCTTTAGAAACAGGATTCCCGGTCGTCACCTGGTGAGATCTATTAACTCCTGCCAGTAGGTCCGCAGGCTGTTGAAGTAGAGAGTCTGAGCCTCCTTGCTGAAGTAGTCGTTGGGGTGTTTGTGCCACTGCAGGATGGGACTGAGGGGCCGGCCGGCCTCCACCGCCGCCTCCAGCTCACACAGTGTGTTGTGCGGCAGCATGGACACGGCAATGTAGTAAAACAACCGCTCACTCAGCGCCTGGCAGAGAAGAGGAGAGTTGGAAAAACAGGGTATTTACAAATGACAAAAAAAAAAAAAAACGAGTTCATTTAGAAGGCATAAATTGGTATGTCCCTATTTATGAACATCTGGAAAAGCTTTAATAACAAAATAGTAGAAACATCTGTGCAAAACATCAGAGGAAAATAATAGAATATATCCATTCCTCAAACAAGCCTGTTTATTATGTTTACAACTTCATGTCATCATGCTTCAGGCTCTACTAAGTATAAGCAAATATATTGAACGCAGACAAATTCAACAAATTTTACCCAAGAAAAGTCATTGCAAAATAATAGAAAACACACGCCTTCGCGATCGGATATAAGGGCTCATCACTGGATGGGATACTACAATGAAATTTGAAGTTTTAAAAAGTATGGACCTTTTAATGAACAGTACATGCATTACTACATTAAAAGGGAAATGTGAAAAGTCAGCTTCACCTGTGCACAGGCACAGCCAGCATGGCCATCAAACACACCCAGCAGCATCCCTCGTGTCTGCAGACACGTGGCCGCACTTCGGCGGTCCTCTATAGGAGCGTTGGCCGGCAGCTGATTGCTCTCAAAACCCATCACCGACGACACATTCTTCCCATCAAACTCAGGCACCTGGAACAACAACATTTAAATAAGGGTGAGATGGAAACTGAAATGCAGAGACAGCCAGAAGGGTTTTCCGTTTGCATGAACGACCCCACAAACCTTGAAGCTGTACTCGTTGGCCTTCAGAATGGAGTTGACCTGCGGGGGGGTGAGGATGTAGCTGCCGAGCACTGTGGTTGTCCGGTAGCTTCGGGAGTGCTGGTGGCCCTGCCACATACGGGACGGACGTCCTGAACGGGGTCGGTGAGCGGCGGGTCCTGACTGGGCCTGGTGTTGTTGGCATGGTAACAGGCTGGAGGCTAAGACCTTCGCACGGGGGAAACCCCTGAGCAGCTGAGATGTCACAGGCATGGCTGAAGGGCTACCAGGTCCACGCACAACCCTATTGAAGGCAAACATAGAGAGCTCATAAAGCCACAGCTGAATGTATTTCTTTTAAAGAGGCATCAGTGTACAGACTCCTCGCACTATTTAGCAAACATTGTGTTCCTTGGTAAGAGCGTATTTGTTTACAGTCCAATCTTTGGCAACAGCCCTTTTTAGGAATATATAAATAAAAAAATGAGACTGTTGATTGTACTGGAGAACTTGATGCTTCCATCACTTTTCTCCACTCCCTGGTTTGGTTAACATCGGACAAAAGCTAAATCTCATGTGGTGAAATACAGCCATCCAACTGGACATTTAAGAGTCAGGAAAAAAAAGGTAAACTGTATTAAATCTTTGTAAATAAACAGTGGCAGCAACGGAAAAAGTATTTGGACAATGTAGGCCGTTGGTAGCCTGTACCGGAGATTTCATTTATGCACTCAGTTACCCTGGTTCTTAGCTTGGATGAAATGAATATTTTCTACCACAACAGATCCTTCATCCACGTAGGTCGGTATGGTCAGTTTTAGCAGAATATAACGTTCATTGAGGTGTTGTTGGATAGTATCGCCTTATGCAGACAGATGTTTCTATTATTTTTGTACACTTTATTTGCTAAATATAGTTTAACAACCCCACAAACGTCATCCTGCAAAATGACCACGCAGTTGAATCAACACCTCTTGTGTAGTTTCATAACGACCTTCACAGGGGTTGGATTATTAACGCGGTTAGTTAGAGCCACGTTTACTGAATAAACTGAGTCTAATTTCTGAAAAGGGAACCAAAGCGCATCAAGCTGAATTCCTCGGATTTATGTTCTACTTGCACGCTTTGCACAATCAAACATCCTGCAACTGTGGTACCATCAAGACACACACACACATTGATATATATAAAAGCTCTAATTGATTGATATATATATCAATTAGAGCTTTTCTGCAGCAGCTGACTTTTTATCGTGAAGTTTCCGCATAGTTCACTTTTTTCTATCCGGAGGCCTCATTAAAATGAGTAACGTTGCTCGGACACGTCCCGGAGACTTGGGTTGCAGCGCTTCTCTCTTCTCCAACTTTAGATCAGCTTGGCTAAAAATAGCTTCGGAACAACCTCAGCCCTGACATTTGGGTATTGAGCAATCCTCTGCCATCATCATGACCTACTGAACTCGTTCCAGACGATATCTGATCCCATGTGGCGGACATGTGCCGCTATAGATCGCTTACTTGTGTCAGTCTGCGGAGGGAGAAACGTGCAACGGCGCAAGCATCGGCTGCAAAGTGTTAGTGACCCCGGTATGTTGCCGTTGGTGAGCGGGGAAGACGCGCGGTGTCGCCCGCACAGAGACCCGGGAGGGCCCCGTGCCAGCTGTGAGCTCTGCAGAACAAAAAAGTTGACATCACTAACTTAACGTTAGCTTCCCAGAGCTAACTAGGAGCAAAGCAAATATTTCATAAGAAAGCACCCGAGCTTTGGTCTGAACTTTCCTTTCAAAACACGAGGCTCTGACACGTTGTTTAGTACACGGTAATGCCAACGTTGGCTTTCCGATGGATCCGGGGAGCGTCGGTCATCCAGGGACAGTAGCCACACAGCTACATGCTAATGGAAGCTAATGTTGTCTGGGTTACACCCACCGGGCTACCGTCAACCTGGATAATGCCTGCTTCGGTAAAACGGGAAAGGACCAGCCGAAAAGCTACGCCGGCGTAGATTAGATGTCAAAATGCCAGACTCACCTTAACAGATGGACGTGAAGAAGTTATTGAAGTTCATGACTTTAACACCGACCTGGTGTTCTGTAACAGTCTGGAGCGCAGCGGTGCTGCTAAGTGAACGCTGATTGGTTTAGCTCCGTCAGCCACAGTGACGTCATGTGAGACCCCTCAAAAACAAATACAATGTAGTCTGTAGTCTTTTTGTGTTAACGATGAGACAATTTCAATTAAAAATGTATAATATTCCGTTTCTGACAACAACAAATAACCAATTTAATGTCTAATATGTGAGTTTTTAATACCCCAAAAGCAGTTTTATATTATTGTTTCTATAACATCTTTGCATTCTGTGAAATTGAGAGCATCAGGTTCAATCTTACCTATGCGATCATAGAGCAATATTCGTCATATAATGCCTCACTTAATGACAAGATGACAGCTAAAACATTGCACTTGGAGCATTGTACCGTAGCATTGTTTGAACAGCGATAAAAGCCTTAAAGCATATTTCTATATAATGACTAAACTGTGCAAACAAACCACAAAATAGGTAACGCAGACCTGGCTGCAAACTACACATCAAGGGAGAAGCCTTTGATGTGTACTTAGGGAAATAACTAAATAAGCAAACAAGAGGCATTTTGTGTTTTTGACATTTTGGTGCTTTTCAGATGTAAAGGCAGAGAAAGACAATGGCTTCTTCTGTGTGTTCTTGGTAAAAACTCTCCTCTTTCAAGCTATATGCAACTCTATGTCGCAGTATCAATAATTGTATAAAAAACATGTCTGTCTAGCTAATTTATAAAACATGAATAAAACATGTTATAAATATTTTTATGAAGAAAGTCATACATTTTTTTTCTGAATTTTCAGATTTTCATTACATCTCCAATTATAGTGACTTCAAAACAAAACTCTAAACAAGACTTCATACCAAAACATTTTAATCCATAAAAACATTGAAATTTTTACAAAATGTAATTTACAAAACCATGTACACAGTAGCAAAAATACTGAACACAAAACAAAAAGAACAAAAAAAGAGCTGCACAAGCTGTAAACATCTTTGATAGAAATGCGATTAAATAACACCAACACTACAATTACCTAGCAGGAAATTCTATATCAGAAATCTCTCATCCACCAGAGTCTTGCTGACAAGGTTCTTCCTTCCCAGAGCGTTACGGATCAAGCGAAATATCTGTAAAAAATTAGACAGTGTTTGATACATGTTCATTTTAGCACAAGAAAGGCTTCACAGGATATATACATCAAGCACTGACCATTTGCTGTACGCATGTAAGCACAGCGGCAAGAACAAAGCTCTGAGATCCGAGGTCGACGACACAGAAGAACAAAGTGTCAAAGATCAGCAGCGTGGCCTCATTTCCATAAAACAGGACATCACTGAAAGAGTGGGCCTCATCTGCAGGGGTAAAAGCAATTATACATCATATAAATAATAATAAATAAACATAAATGTAAAGCTTGCTTGGGCCAAGAAGTCATTACCATTATAAAAGATGCTTTTTTCACTGGGTTCAAGGAACTCCATCCCTATGACCCTCTCAAACATCAGCTTGTCCTTCACGATATAGTCCATTTCATGGTGCGCCTGAGGTAAATGGGGCAACATTAGAGACAGAAAAAGACTCAGGTCAATGGAAAGAACACATATACTTTACTATCTAACAAATAAATGCATTTACAATCAAAATCTGCTGGGTTAAATTTGCTTTTGTGTGTGTCTAAATATGAAAATGTGTACAAACATGGTCTATTATGGATCCCAGGAAGTGGTTCATGGTCTGGTAGCCTCTGGCTCTCTGCTCAAACTGTTTAGCCGAGCTTGCGTCAATCAGCCGGGATGGTCCGTTTCTCTGAAGCAACCATTTACATTGAAAATAGGGAGTCAATGTTTTGCTTGGATTAACATTGTTAAAGCCCAATCAATAACACAACAAAGACAGCACAGACCCTTCCGATCTGCTCCCGTATCCTGTCATAGTGCAACCGCAGGCGGTCGTTGAGGGACACCTGAAAGGTCTGGATCTGTGTGTTTGGAAGTAGACCTCTCTGACCACACAGGGACTCCTTGGATTAAAAACATAGATAAATAAAATTGTATATGTTGAGTTGCTAATAGAATATTGTGGCAACCCACGGGCGCAGCACTCTGGACAGCGCCTCAAGAGAGCAGCACAAAGGGCAGGGGCACCAACGATCAAGAGGTCAGGTGACCAAAAGGGGAAACACCCCGCCCCCTCAGGAGACAACGAGCGGCCCAGGTGCAGCTCATAAGGCTGATGAAGGTTGGCCACACTATAAAAGACCAACCATTCCAACAGCCCAGCAGACAAGACGTGAGTAGAGGCTGGCTTCATGCCCGAGTTTGTTTGCAAGAGTGTTGAAGCCCGTTTTCTGTGCTTCCTGCAGGAAGGAGACTGAAGGCCGAACGAACCTGCTGAACCGCACCCTCAAAAGAGGAAGAACCTAAGTTTCCATTTTTAGTTACTTTGTATGTTATAATAAATCATACCCTTTTCTTGTGCAACTAGACGTGCTTCTGAGTCCGGTGATTCCACCCACACCCGTTGGTTGCCACAATATATATAACGTTGAATCGACAGTGGCATGAACTTCTACAATTGTTAACACGACATGTAGTCTGTTGGTGTAACCCACCGATTCTCTGTTCAGGTTGTTGTTCATTTCCTCCATGTTTGTGTCTGCATGCCCGTGGACTGAACGTCCGTGAATGTAGTAGCCAAAACAACGGTGAGATAACAGCAGCACAGAAACCTTTACATAGACATGGAGAAAGTACACCGATGTGAAACAACAGTACAACATGTTTAAAACGTAGGCCAATATGAACATTGATACTTACGTTACTGATTGAGCAGAGATCAACAAACTGACGGATTTTGTCCTCCACAAAGTGCTCATAAAACACAGTGAAGAAAATCCCCTGTAGCGACAAGGGATAATCTTTTAAATAAGCTCTCCACATTTGTATTTGTATTCAGCTAATTTTTTAAGAAAGACAGGAAGAGGTGAGAGATGAACAAACGGTCGTGATCAAAGGATGTGATGAGAGGGGATGATACCTGCAAAAGTCCAATGCCGAGCCACAGCGCGGCGGCCAGACCGTAGCGCAGAATCAGGCTGTATGAGGGTGTATATGCATCTGGGGAGCGCTGTAAATCAGCCATGGGGTCCCTCAAGGCCAAGTTAGAGAAACCCAGCACCTGAACAACACGGACAATGTGTCATCAATGAGGAAAAGGGCCATAACAGAAGCTGTCAAATAAAAGTGGGTTGTTCTAGGATGTACTTCGAGGAAAAAGAGGACAGCCATGGTCTGAAAAGTTGGGCTGATCTTGCGGATGGTCTGGAGCTCGTTCCATTCATTGGCCACAAAGTAGGTTCTCCAGATGCTGACGGGAGAGGGGTCACGTTTCAGCTCACCAGCAGCTGAAACCGCAGCGAATGTGATGAATATAGGATAAAAAAACCTGAATGTTTTCTTCTCATGAAGACTGCAAAACACAAGCTCCAGTTATATTTGTACCTTGCACAGTTCTGCTGGTTTTGCTTCGTGGCCTCTCCCAGTCTATAAAGAACACATCAACTGACACCTGAAGGATCAACTTGTGCAGGAACTGGATAGCCTGGATAAGAAATACACATAGAATTCCATTTTAATATTTCTAATAGAAGCACCATAGGTTTAAATAACAATACTGCTCATTTTTATATCTGTGTGTCTAACCTTGAGAGCAAAGGCGCAAGCAACATACGTCACAAACTGCTCCTCCTGAGCAGGTAGTGGTAACAGCACAGACACAAACTGTTGAGCCTAAACAGATGCATACACAAATTAATCACAGAAAGCAGCCATTTATATCACAACCAATTGTATGCATTGAAAAAAAACATGCGGAAGAAGAAGGTAGAGGAGGAAAGCGACTTGCCTTTAAAGTCTTAAGAGCGCAAAGAGGGAAAAAAAGAGTTAAGAGAAAAGTCTGAGATAAGAAAAACGCCATTTGTGTTTGGAAAATAATACGTTTGAATAAAAAAGGGCTCAAAAGGAAAACGTTACAGACACGAGGTACTGATTGAAATATTACATAAAAGAAATTAGACCGACCTTGTAAAAGATAAGCCAGTAAAGTCCCGTTCCCACAGTGACGGCAAAGAAAACATTGGCCAGGTCTCCGGCATAAAACAACAAAAACTTCAGCATAGTCTGAGGCAGAGAAGGAGGGGAAGACTTTGTTAGAAAATTCTCACTCGACACCAGTCAAACTCATCAAAACAGGATATTTAATGTTTGCAAACGGGAGACAGAGTTGACACACATACAAGTCATGCGTCAAGGCTTCTCAAAGGGTTTCATCTTTGGAGCAGGAATATATAGTTGTTAGATGAACATGCTAAAACAAGGGTGGGGGGGGGTCTGTGGGAAAAACCCAAGTGTTGGTTGTCGACCTCGGATGTAGACAATCATCTTTGGCACCACAAGATTATAAACATTGATGCACAAACATCTTGATTATCAGATGACCCAGAACACCGTGTGCCTCTATGTGAAAGAGCACAGACTCTCTGTCGCACTACAGTAGAAAATTATTGCAGTCTTTCCAACAGACTTGGATTACCGTCAAATTTTACACCGCTATAAGCATTGAATGCATGATGTGTGAGAGATGAAATACCTCCAAATCAATGAGCGGGGAGGCAATCCTCCTCTTCCAGCTGACAGTTTTCAGCAGAGAGTACAGGAGGGCCACACCGCCCATCACCCCGAGAGCAGTCTGTGAACACACACATATCAGCGGCCCGGCTGACACTGTATCACTGTGAACCAGGATTAGCATCAGTCGCTCACAGGAACAAAGTCTTGTACGGCTACTCACATCTGTTTTTATGTGAGCCTCATTCTGATCCATCTCATACTCCACGGCAAACGTGGTCTTGAAACAGATAAATGAATTCAGAGCATTAACAAACCGAAAGCTTGTTAGATATAAACAAAGATAAGAACTCTTTTTAACAAAAGCCTACTAAAGTCTTACTTCTACTCAGTTTTTGAGATGGAAAACACGTGTGCGCCAACTTACAGACACAGT